AAAATAGATTATATCATGATTATTATTATGATTAAATAGATTTTATTCGATGTTTTATAAAAACATGCTTGTTCCAGTTCCTCTTCTTCTTCTCACCATTACCGGTTAATCAAATTCTGTTGGCCAATAGAGCGAGGTCTTTCAAAATTTGTCGATTCCGTTTCTTATCTAAAAGTGGCAGAAACTTTTTTTCATCTTTTATCATCAAGCCATCTATGCAAATTCAAATTCCAAACTGACCATATGTTGTTTAAACTTAAATTGGCTTTAATTTATGGAATAAAAATATAAAAATGGTAATAATTTATTTCCTCACTAATAGAAAGGTCCATCCTATGGAAGTGCACAATTTAATATTTAATTTAAATTTAAAATTAATTTTTGCACCTAAAACTTAAATCAACTTGGAGAATATAGAAAAAACGAAATTTTGAAAAATTTCGAAAAATTTCAGGAAAAAACTAGCCAATGAATATTAATAGAAATAACCATTATAGTTATTGTTGAAGAAATCGACTACTTTAGAAGAATTTTGCGATAGCGATATACTATTTGTGATTGCAGGTGCAACAAAAATGCATTGCGAGATTTAACAATTATTAGGTATTGGATAGTTAGTTCAAGAACTGCCTGGGTTTATATAATTTGAAGTGGTAGGGAAAGATTTGGGAAGACGGATTAAATCAAAAGCAAAAGCAAAAGGTACAACGAGGCTTTTAATGTTGAAAATATTAAATGAGGTTTGAGGAGATTTTTCACAGAATATAAATATTTGAAATGTATGAAATGATTTCAACAGATCGGATCTACGATTCTCAATTTTAGGATTGGAGGTTGTTTCTTCCGAATACACATAGCAATACACTGTGGTGCGAATGAATAGTGCCTGAGATTATTTGTAGTAGAAATCCTGAAATCCTGTTTCTCCTATAGCAGTAAATATACCATTAGGAAGTGCGGATAATTGGTGCTCTATCACCAAGCTCGATCACTTTGCTGGCAAAAGTTAATTCAGCAAATTCATAAATTATTGGTTGCATTTCTTCTTTGATAGCTGCCAATCCAAAAACTGCCAGTTTGACTAGGAAAATTATCATCGCTATTATTCAACATTTTAAATTTTCTGCATCCTTTCTAGTGAAACGATCAAAATAATAGAGAGAAAGAAGCAAAGATTAGGCATTCATTTAAAATGAACTGAATCGAGCATTATTTAAAAGATAAGGCTTAGAACTGTTATTCTGTGGTACCACTCTATTATTCCTAAATTAAAACTTAAACATATAGAAGATTAAAAAACTTAAGAAAATTAATGTTAAAACTACGTTAAAAAATTCGCTAAATTTTTTGCAAAAACAAATTGAAAATAAGAAATAAAATAAATGAAAATATATATAACTTAAATTAGAATGAGTGGAAAAACCATGCTCAATAAAAAAAAGTACCAATAGTTTGTAGGTGAAAAAACTAATCCAAAAATTTTTTTAAAAATTTTTTTCTTTCATCTTTTCAAACGAAATATTCGGCATAAACAAAATAAATAAATATTTTTAAATAAATAAATAAATCTCAAATATCGTTTATATCAAAAATTTCATTAAACATCGCAAGCAAGGCAAGCAAGCATTCATTCCTCGTCAAACTCTTATCTATTGTTCCTTTCAAGAGTAAAACTCTATTTTCCTAATTTATTGTTATCATACTATAATCTCTATCATATCACTGTTATTAAACTTCATAAAAAGTTTTATAATTAAAGGTTAGCTATTTATAACGCGATTTGTCATTTTGAAGAAGAATATTCTCATGTTGATGCAGATTCATATATAAAGGAGCAAGTAAGCCAATATAAGCCAATCACACCGGAACAAACTTGAGCAAAAGCTAGTATAATGCGAATGACTGTGCCAATAATATTCAACAAGTCTTAATAAAAATTACGCATTGATGGGTTCCATTAGGTTCCATGTAATCAGTGTGCAATCAGCATTTTACGAATTAAAAATATTTGAAAATATTTCCGAGATAATAATGATGCTGAAAAACTTGCAAATTTAGGGATTTCGTTGCAAAATTGCAATTTTTTAATTTTTTTTTCTAAAAATATTTACTACCACTTCGGATTAAGTTCACTTCGTTTGTTTCTTGGACTAGATAAATTTTTCCAGAGGATCGTTTGATGACAGAGGTACAAGTAAATCACGATCATTATCCGGGATTCTAAATGGCCTAAAAGGTTTACCTCAGCACAAAGAGGAGAGTAGCGCTCTGAAATGAGAATAACAACCCATTCTTATCTTTGTCAATCATTTGTCAATTGTATTCGTTGACGTTTTAAAAATTTATTAAATTTTTAAATTTTTAAAGATGTCAGAAGTGCGATATTTAAAAGGCAAAGGTACTGTATCAGCGCTAGCAATTATACAAATTATGATTGCGACGGCACATTTCGTTGAGAATTCGCTTATATTACACAGAAATTACAATGATTTTTATCACGATGAAAGCAGGTTTTATATCTTTTAATGATTGATTTAATTAATAAATAATTTAATAAATTTCTTTTAAATATACGAAATTTTACGAAAATAAAGAAAAAAATCCCCACGTTGCCGATAATTTTCAAATTATTTCTAAAATTTCTGAAATTTTTAATAAATTCTAAAAATAATAACAATTTTTTCGTATTTTTTTTATTATTTTCAAATTTTTTCAAAATGTTTTTAAAAATCCTTCGATTTTTTTTTTTTGATTTCATCGTTTTTCATTTTTCAATCCACTAAAAAACTAGCATAATAATCGACTGTAAAGCAATATGCAATGTTTTGTTTTAGACGATTCTCGCGAAACAATTTTCAAATTTCAGGATTGCAGTTTTTATAGTTTGGTCGTTTACACTTTCTTGGATGATTTTAACATTTATAATGCTTTTTGGAATAATAACCAATCGATCATCGCTTATATTACCACATATAATATTTTTAGTTGGTTGTATTTTATTTAAAAAAAAAAAAAATTTTCCGCGAAATTTACGATAAAATATGCGAAATAATTCAGAAAAGGAGACTATTTAGCCGAGCGTCATTGCCATCCAAGTGGTTTTCGAAGATTCGAAGCGATTGCTTAGATAAAAGAAAAAGCCTAGAAATCTCGTTTTTTCAATATATTCAATAATATTTATTTGAAATTTAAAATTTAAATTTATCGAGAAAGTTAAGATGTTTAATTTTTTCCTCAGAAATAATAAATAAGATGGCCAAGTAAAACTATTTTTTCTTTCATCTCTTAGAAACAATAGACAACACTATTGGCCGATTAAGGCTTCGAGTTCATGGCTTAGGCCTTTAAGAGTTTTTTAATAAATAAATAAAAATAAATAAGCTTGAAATTCTTTTGGGATGAAATTATAAATGGATTAAAAGCTAAAATAATTCCTGCTTAAATTCCTTTTAAAACTGATGGAACAAACCATAACGTAATTTATTCCAGTAATTAATAAATAGTACTAATAGTTTTAATAAATAATACTAATTTCTTGGCGTCATTGCTTTATCCAATTATTGTTCCGCGATTTTCTAATAATGCAGAATAATACTGATAAGATGAAATTTGTAGAAAAACCATAAGAACCACAAGCCAATAAAAAGGAGAAAAAAAGCCTATCGAGAAGAGAAAATCAAAAATACTAAAGAAATTTTCAGATAATATGGCTCGCATTTAAATTATTATTATTATCAATGATGCTAATGAGTTCGGGTCATTTACTATCAGTTGCATTCACTACATTAATAACCGTTATCACTGCGATATCTATTCCTTATGAATGGCATTGTTATCAGTTGATGAGGTCCGTATTGTAAATTCCAACAAATTCCTCAGTGGTAAGCAGCCATTTAATCCGACTACTTCCGTTTTCTCTTCCATGTATTTAAAATATATTTTTGGATACTACGATGAAGCAGCATTTAGCAATTACTTTAATTCAGTCATTATTAGTTGGTTGAATCGATTCTGTAACTTAAATTATTTTCAATTATTAATATTAATATTATTAATATTAATAATTATTAATATTTGTTGAATAACCAAAAATCCTTAAAATTTTATTGTTTATTTTAAATTAATTTATTTACAATTTCATATTTATATTTCATATTTCCTATAAAAATTTTTCGATTCAAAAAATTTTAAATCTATTAAGAAGGATATTTATCTCATTTAAAATGGTTATTAAAATGGTTTTATTAAAATTTAAAAATAAGAAAAAAAATGATAATCTCACTTTTTATACGACAAATCTTTTTCATTTGATTTTACTCAATAATTTTATTTCAATGGAAAAAAAAGAAAAATTTAGAGATCTGGAGAAATGTAAAAAAATAAAGCAGAAAATAAAATAAATAATCAAATTTAATTCTTATAGATTTCAGTTTTATTAGACAAATTTTATAGGAAATTATAGGTAAATTTTCAAATTTCTAATATTTTCATCCGATTCGATTTCGATTGAAATACTACAAGCATTGATAAATATCATTAATGATAAATATCATTCAGATTTTATTGAGAATTTATTTAAAATGCTCGAAAAAAAATATAATATTGTGAATTGAAATTCCAGCGAATTTGTTTCTTTAAAAAGAGGTAATTTAAACAGTTAATAACCCTGAAAGAATGAAAAAAAACCGCATAAACATAGACATAAGGGAAGTAAAATAAATAATTAAAAAATATTTGATAAAAGGTGAAAGTGCCCTTCGACGAAAAAATGAACGACTAATATAAAAGAACAGATCCGACAACTGATAAGAAGAGAGTGATAATGCTGAAGATGATGATATGTGCGCAATATTCACAGACTGCAAAATTTTCTTCATTATATATCCTAATTATACGTTATATACATTTTATAACATATATATTTTTAATTTATCTATAAAATGATTTTATCACTAATCATTTTTCTATATTTTCTAACGCATTCATAGAACCCAGAAAGATTAGATTTGCATCAAATCTTTTGGTGCCAAATTCGACAATTCTAAATAATTATAAAAAAATAATAAAAAAATAAATTTTCGAATAAAATAACTTACAGATCGAGAAATTAATTTATTGCCACTATTATTTATAGCTATTAATGAATCGCTTTTTTCATGCTGAAATGAATTACGAATAAAAGCTTAAAAATTTTATAATTAAAAATTATCATTTATAATTTATCATTTATCATTATATTTTGCGATCTAAAATATTGTAAAATGATAAGAAAATAAATTTTTCCCATTTTATTTTATTATTGAATTGTTTATTACAATTTTTTCCAAATAACTGAAATTTAAATGCATAAAAAATAAAACAATTTTTAATCGTTCAGTTAATATTATAAGCCATTCAAATATTTATTAAAATATTTATTGCAAAAAAAAGAAATTTACAACTGTGTCGGAGATATTAAATAATGACTAAAAGCAAAAGTGCAAAATTTTTAAACGAGAAATTAAAAATTGATACTAACCGCTCTAAAAATTCGTAATGAAGCAAATTGTTTGTTGAATGAAGGAATAATAGAGGTTTGACTACTTTCTCGAACATTTTTTGTTTTAGAATTATCGTCAGTGGCCATATTTTTATGAAAAATAACCATTTTTGACTTCTCCGATAAGCTGCCTTCACTTAAAGCCCTATTCTTCGCAAAAAACTTTCGTTTGTTTTCATCGATCAATCCATAATCGTTTTCGTAAAATGACTGATCAACAACTGAACCAACCTAAAAATAAAAATCATTGACAATTTTGTGAAAAATGAACTCGAAAAATATTAGAATTTAAAACGACCTTGGACAATTTAACTTTTATCGCATGGATCTCGGCCTGAAGCTCAATGATCTTCATTGCTTTTGCCGTGCGATCATTTATTGAAAGATGAAGCTTTTCACGAAGCTGCTGGATCTGGGTATTAGCTTCATCAAGACATACACAAAGATGATCACGTATTGATAGCAACTGAGTCCTTTCCGCATGGATATCACATAACTGCAAATTCGATGAAATAAAAATATTCACTAAATAATTTTGCAAAAATACCACATCAGAATCAGCCAAATTCTTCGAAAAAACACCTCATGATATAAATGCTGCTTTTCTTCATTAATTTTGCTGATTATGGACTCGAGAGTTTTGACTCCCTCATTAGCTCTTAAAAGTGCTTCATTTTCACGGATCAGATCACTACAGCGTGTTGCCCATTCTCTTATTTTATTTTGCAATTGCTCGATCATTTTTTCATTCTCTTTTTTAATATTTTCGGCCGACTATAAGTCAACAAATCAGTGATTCGAAATATCAATAAACAACTAATGACATGGTAATATAAGAATGGCATATAAATACGAAATACCAGAGAAAAGAATAAATAAAAAGAACCCGCAATTTGGCTTCTGCAATATGTAGTTCATCGATAAATTGTTCTAGCTCTTCATTATGGAATTGTTCAGTTTCAGAAATCTTTTCTTGCAATTTAGCGACTCTCTGATTTTGACTGTTTTGTTTATGCGAATAAATCGATCTGTTACGAGTAAGTTCTACTGATAAGCTAAAGAATTAATACGTTAAGTAGTGCAGAGTAGTACAAAAGATGTAAAATGGTTGAATGGTTGAAAATGGTTCCATTTAGCATAAATAAATAAAAATATATCAAAAAAATATGTCTTATAAAAATAAAAATATTAAACCTGTCGCACTGTAACTGAAAATCTTTAAGGTTAGATTCTAATACAAGTTCGCGTTCGATTCGCATTTGCAGATCGTTTTCACGAGTCACCAAGAGACGACGAACATTGCAAAGCTCCTAAAAATCATAAACCTATGAAAGTTTCGTTAAGAATTTTTCTTCAAACGCCATCAATGAATCCAATCCAATATTTCATGTTGTACTAACATAAATTTAAATTCGAATTGGTCTAATATTCAAATTTAAAATTAAATTTTTCTTAAAAAAAATAGAAAATTCGTAAATAATTCGTTTTGCAAAAAGAAACTTTCGCGATTCGCATATTTTCATGTTTTAATTTCGACATAATCGCGTTATTTTTTAAGCATTTAGCGCAAGGCTTGATTTCGTATGAAATAAGATCGGTGATTCGAGAATCTTCTGGGACTTGATTCAACTGCATTCCACTTAAAGAGTCTGGTATGACTGAAAAAAAGGAACCAAATGAATAACTGATATAATAACTGATATAAATAAATTTTAAATTATATGAATAATTTTATCATTAGCTGATATTTTCTATATTCTAGGCATATCTATTAATATATATGGCAGCGCTCGGACCATTTCAATTGTTCATAAACTCATTAGCATGCCGTCTCCAACAATCCTCCACAAACTCCACGATTAATTTTATCAATAATTTTATCAATAAATACAAAAATTTTTTCTAATAAATATAAATAATATATAATATATAATAATAAATGATAATAATATAATAATAATAATGAATATAAATAATAAAAAATAAATATAAAAATCAAGTTAAGTCGTAGCAAAACGAGAAATTTAATTTAAGTTTCTTTCGAATGCGCGAGGCTACAAATCATAATTTAAGGACCAATAGATGAAGGTCGATTTCGAATCTGAAGATCGCATGTTTTAGCCCTAGCAGCCTGATTTTTGTTCTCTCACAGATATATTAAAAATTTTTATTAATTTTTATTTTTATTAATAAAAAAATTTTTCAAATGAAATTATGGAATTTGTAATATTGGAATTAATCGGAATCGGAATTAAAAAATAAATTAAACAATTAAAATTAAAACTGCTCGAATTATCACGTTGAAATAAGCTAATAATTCTAGAGTTATATTAGCACTAGAATTCTTTGAAATTTAATTTAATTCTTTTTTTTCTTTATCCGAGCAAAGTTCCATCTTGGAAATCACTTGGGAATCAACCAAATCAGAAATAGTGCAACCTTATAAGATTTTTTATATTTTTCAAATAAAATAAAATTAAAATTTTTAAATTTCTCAAATACTACCTTCTTCCTTTCCACCATCAGCGTTTTCAACCGAATCGTCTTCTTCTTCAATTGAAAATCGCCTTTCATTTTTCAACTGAAATAAATTAACAATTCAAAATTACTGAAAGGAAAATGGAAAATAAATTTTTAATTCTATCATGTCTGAAAAAAAAAATTAAATAAAAAATTAAGAATTAAATAAAAAAACAAAAAATAAAACAATAATGAAACAATGATAAAAATTACTTGAGTATCGATGTCTAATTTTCGTGGATTTCCAATATTATTTTCAACTCTTCTTAACTCTTCGTTATTCTCCGTTAATTTTTGACCAGTTTTATTGCAATTATCATCAACATTGACACTCCCATTGATATTATCAGTGATAAACTCGCTAGCACATAATTGATTGTTTTCTATTAATAAAGTCTGGCTTGACTTATTAACTTTTTGCTTGGTACTATTCAATTTCTTTATTAAAAAATCTTTTTCTATTAAATCATTTTCCAAAATAGAAATTTTTTTTCGCATATTTTTCATCGTTTCCATTGGTTCTTCAAATTTATTATATTGATTTTCATCATTATTTTTAATCGTAAAAAGAATTTTTTTCAAAGAATCCAATTCATTCCAAATTTGTGAATTGCTTCCGCGTATTTCCTCTAATTCAGCAAATATTTCCTGCTTAGTTTTATTTTTGAACTCTTTCAGCATTTCAACGAGATTTTCATAATCGTCCACTGCTTTCATTAAATCGCTTCGCATTCTTTCCAATTTTTCACATTTAATAATTTCTTGTAGTTTTTCCTCTTTCAATTTCTTCAATTCATCTTTTAATTTCTCATTTTCCTCAACTAATGAGAAAATTTTTGTTTGAAATATTTCACTGCTTTTTACGCTTTCAATAATTTCTAAAATTTCCTTAAATTTTTTATTTTCCATATTAAAAAATTTTTGAAATAAATTAATTTTCGTACTATCATATCCGATTAAACATTTTATAGCTTCTATATTTAATGCGTTATCAATTTTAGCGATTTTCTTTTCATTCATATCGACGCTTCCATCTAATTCTGTTGTTATCAATGAATTGGTCAATGTATTCTCCAAGCAATGAACGCATTCATTAATTGAAAATCGAGTTTCTTCTAAATTTTGCAATTGACCTTTGAACTGATCAATTTGTATATTGCACACATTTAGGCATCGTTGAAATAAATTACATAAGATATTCCAACCATCATAAATCATTTCCTCTTCGTTTTCGCTTGAATTAATAGATAAGATGTCTACTGATAAGATATCAGTAATTTCTCGCAATTTAGCCATATTCGTTGTAATGCCATTACCATTTTCAATAAAATTATCGAATAGCTTGTCGAAATGATCCAATTCGCGAACATAAGTGCCATTCTAAATTAAATTGGAAAATTAATTTTATAAAAATTTAAAAATTTGAAAATCCATACTTGTCTAACTTTTTAAATTTTTGCTATTTTCTATATTTCATCGATAATATTTTTTAAATACTTTGAATTGATTCATTTATAAACGATGTGAACAATAATGGATTTATGATAATCGGACAGATAAGATAGATATCTGTTGATAATATCAGCGAAATCCATTCGTATTACCAAAATCCATTGTTATTGGATTTTTTTTTTACACTCCTTATGAATTTTTAAATTTCCAATTTAAAAAGAATGAATCGTAAAAAAAAATCAACCAATTGTTTAAAAAAATATTACATTAAAATTGATAAATTATCAAAATTCGCAATTTTCAAATTACGGCGACGATTTATATACTTCGCTTATAATGAATACAACAACCTTACTACCTTCCAAATCACAACTTCTCACACCACTAATTTTAGTTCACTAATCTTGTTGTTCATTGTTCAGTGGCGTATAATGTCTTACCGTGAAGACACATAGTCCAGAATATCCTGTTGAGATGATGAGACACGCGTTGGGTCCATAGAAAGAAACCAATTAAAAACTCTAAAAACTCTCCCAAGGATCTCATCCGTACCTCTATTACCAAAATATCTTCCTGCCAAAAAATTTCCAACAAACATATGAAGCACTCGTCTTGAAATCGACCAATAAGTAACATTATATGAAAAAGAAGAAAATTCTAGAGTAAATGTGAATACTGAAGTGACTTCAAAAGATACTTCAACAGACGTGGAATTTTTCTCTGATAGAATTAGCGTTGATAATCAGATCAGGTGATTATGAATTAGAGGGAACTGGAATAAAGGGCATGAAGAAGTGGGCAAAGATGCAGTTCAATGCTCTTATATAAAAATATGTTCGCTGAGGAAGAAAACTTCAATAGCACACATTACATTAAATTAAAAACTTAGAATTCTTTTTCGTTCTTAACTTTTTTTTTTATTATGATACTTTTAAAAACAGAAAAATTCAAGAAAATTTTTGCTTAAGCGAAATTTTTCAATAGATTGATCACATTTCCAAAGCAATTTCCAAAGCTATGCGAGATATACGTGTACATATTTCTTAAGTACCACTTTAGATTCTAAATTTTACTATAATTCATCAAATTTCATTAGGTGATCACAGTAATTGAAATTTACATTTTTATAAATAATAAACTGCTTTTCAAACAATAGCGCCATAATAAAAATAAAAAATAAAAATAAAATAAAATCTTAAAATACTAAGAAATTTTTGTTTTGCGAGTTCTAAATCACCAAAAAAATTATTAAAATCTAACCTAAAATAGCCAAATATTCAGAAAGAAATGAATTTTTATTCTCATACAATGACCAACAATATATACCAATAACGAAAGCTTTCAGGATAATAATAAATAAACAATAAATTAAAAAAAGCAAGAAATGATAGAGCACTAAGAAAAAGAGCCTTGCAAAAAAATAAAAAATTCAGGACTTAAATCTAAAATTACATAACCCTTTCCTTCAAAAGTACCTAATAAAAATGAAAGTAATCTAATAGGTAATTTATTAGAATTATGGAAAAAAAAAGAAGTTCAAGAGGCACAACAGGCAAAAACTGATTACTAGACGTCTTCCTCACTGATCGATTCTACCCCGCAATGCACTTTTCCTCCGACGAACTGGCTCAACCGTCTGAAATAACCAAAGATAGAAAATAATCAAAATAATAACCTTTTACCCCAATCTATTTCACCGCAAAATAAGACTAAATGATGAAAGCCTATTATTCTAATAAAGAAAAGAAATAAAAAATGCTATGATTAAAAAATAAATGACTTATTAAAAACGGGACAGAATAAAAAATAGAGAAAAACTATAAAGATATAATGCAAAAGCAAAGTGCTTAAATCCAATATGGATAGCAATAAAGAAGCAAGAATTTAAAAAAAAAAAATCATTACTCAATCAAAATATCAGAACTCAAAATATATAAAATATATATTTTTTGAGAAAAATCTCAGTCATAGCCAATAGACCCATATTTAAAGATTACTAAACATTAACCATTATCATTATCATAATCATTAACCATTTCACACATTTTCAAATCGACAGAAAAGGAACTTACAATTTCTTGAAGCTGTTGAATTCGATCATTGATATTAGCCAACATTCCCTGAAATAAGTGAATTTTTGGTTGAAATCACATCACCAATTCTTATTTACAAAGTGAAGGTACGAACTACCACTCTTTTTGGACTATTTTGCTTCTTTCGGATTGCATCTAAAGTTAAAACGACTCTTTCAAGACACCTATATTATTCGGAAGAAGAGGATGAATTTGATGTTCTCGTCTTGCAGAGAAAGGAGTATTTTATTACAGCTGGAAATAGGATTCTAGATAAACTAAGAATTTGAACAAATAGTAATAAAAATAAATAGTAATTAGCGGCTTTTCATTTCATTATTTAACATCTATCAATTTAATTTCTTTGGAAAATTTACAGAAAATTAGTTTTTTAATATTATTTGGCTTATTGAGAAAAAGGATTCTCGACAAGCCGATAAATTGTCTTATTAATATTAGCAACAACAAAGTAATAATTAAAACAATTTACCAATCGAAAATTTCGAAAAGAAAAAGGAAAAAATAGGTGAAAATTTAAAAAAAAATCTTACTTCTGAAGAAAAGCCAGTTGTTGACGAGCTACTTCTGCATAACTTTTGATCATCTTTCACTTCAGCGCCATTTAAGTGGGTTTTATCCAAGGTTTTCTGATCCATTGAAAAGATTTGAACGCTGAAATTAATAAAAATTTCTTGAACAATTATTTTTATTCAAAAAAAAATATATTCATTTCATTCTTTTGCAAATAATGTAACGAAACAAATTGGTCAATTTTTTGCAATAATTTCCTAAAATCAATTTTAATACAACATAATTTACAACATAATTTAACTATATTAATAAATTTATTTATTAATATATTTGTAAAATTCCTTAGAATTCTATAAATTCCTTAGAAATTCCTCAAAAAAAAACTGGAACGTACCAAGTAGGAATTTTTCTTCGAGCTTCCTCCTGATCTGTTTGAATAGCTTTTTCTTCTTGAATACCCGTAAAATTCTCATATGTCTTCAGTTTTGAATATAAAATTTCCATTTTATTTTTATGCATATCTTCAACAAAGTCTTGCTTCCTACATTTTTCTTCAGTAATATCCAATTGCTGTTTCAAATCTCTGTTTTCTTCTTCTAAAGTTTGTAAATTTTTTTTTACAATTTCTATTTCCCTTTTGGCAGCAAGAATTTCATTATTCCATTTATGCTCCTCAATAAAATATCGTCTTTCATATTCCTCCAATTTCGTACGCAATTCCTCCAACTCATTTTTATAAAACGTTTCAACAGATGTCAACTGATTTTGCAGTCCATTTTTCTCGGTTATAAGATTTTCATAATCCTCCAATTTCGTACGCAATTCCTCCAATTCATTTTTATAAAAGGTTTCAACAGATGCCAACTGATTTTGCAGTCCATTTTTCTCGGTTATAAGATTTTCATAATCCTCCAATTTCGTACGCAATTCCTCCAATTCATTTTTATGAAAGGTTTCAGCAGATGCTAACTGATTTTGCAGTCCATTTTTCTCGGTTATAAGATTTTCATAATCCTCCAATTTCGTACGCAATTCCTCCAACTCATTTTTATAAAACGTTTCAACAGATGCCAACTGATTTTGTTGTCTATTTTTCTCAGTTAGATTTTCATATTCCTCTAATTTCGTACGCAATTCTTTCAACTCATTTTTATAAAATTTTTCAACAGATGCCAACTTATTTCCTAATTCTTCTTTGTCCACATTAAGATTATTTTTTGCTATGATCATTTCATCAATTTTTGATGCCATAATAACAATATCGTTTTGAAGATTCTCAACGGCAATATTACGTTCTTCCACCAAATCCATCAATTTCGTTTCGGCGTCCTTTAACAAATCATTCTGAGCTCGAATTGAATTAATTTCTTTGCACAAACGTTCGATCTTATTTTTTGTTTCTTCGCCAGCATCGTTGGATTCAGGTAATATTTGACTGATAAGTCTTTCAACTAAAAGCTTATTATCTTCTAATTCTTGAATGAGCGAATATTTATCAGCCAAATTTGTTTCCAGTGAATGATAAGACTGTTCTAATTCATTGGATAAAGCAATATTTTTTTCCTCTAAAATATGAATCGTTTTGTTTTGGTTTTCCAATTTTTCTTCGTATTCCAAAGATTTTTCGGTGATTCGTTGTTTCTCCTCAACAATTTTTGACAAATTTTCATCATTCTTGAATTTATTATCGATATTTTCAGACATTTTGCCTTCTAAAGTTGCATGCCTATTGCATAAATCATTATAATTCCCAGCACACTTGCAAATTTGTGGAATTATTAATGAATCTCCATATTCCTCCGGAGAATATTGTTTGGTATGTTCTTTACCATTCCTAGCTTCGAAATGAACCTCTGCTTGACTTAATGCTTCCTCTTCAAAATTATTCCATTCCCATACATTTTCATCAGCCTCGTCACTAATCACTTCAACTTTCTGCAAGTCTACCGATTTATCAATTCGCTTAGATTCCGATAAGCCAAAATTACTCTGTATTTCCAACCTTTCACTCCCATTAAATAATTTTTCGCCTTCTTTTAACATATGATGATCGCATACTGAATGCAATTCACTGACGCATATTTCTTCATAGGATTGTTGCGTTTGGGTTGATTTACAGCATGACACATCTTCATCGATGCATAAGCCAACTGAAATGTCTGTGTAATTCTTTTCTTGAAATTTTATAATTTGAGCATTCAATGAATCAATTTCATTCTGTAGACGAACATTTGTATGTGCCAATTCAGCATTACAGCGGAATAGAGCATCATTATCTGCTGTTTTACTCGTTAAACGAGTGGCTAAAATATCCAATTGTGTCTTCGATGGACAAAATATTGCTTTAACAGCACCAGTATAATTAACAGAACTCGAACATAGAGAAATAGCAGACGAAGAAGAGATAGGAAGATTTTGTTGAAGCACTGCAAAACAAGGTGAATGTAGCTTTGAATAAAACTTTTTTTTCTTATTCTAATCATCATTTCTGGTTTGGCTGCCTCAGCTAGCTCTATCAGGATGAGATTCCTTCGTCTTAAAATTATCTGAGGATAAAAGGCAGAGAATCGAAGAATCGAATCTATGGCTTAACTTCAGTCGAAGATATATCACTCGATCATCTTGTACTTCAGTAAAAAAAAAAAGTCAATAAAATATCTCAACATACATTTTAACATTCTCAAATAATACTTATAAAAACCCATTAACAAATTGGTCCTCAAAATGATAAAAAAAAATATCTGAGGATTTATTTTCAATCGATAGCGATCTATTTACTTAGTTTAGTTCCTTAATTTCTTAATTTATGAAATTATTCGATTTTTCGTTTTGTCTATTTTATCCAAAAAGAAGCCAAGTATGCAGATTTCTACGATTTCTTTAAAAGTAATAGTACTTGCATTTAGAGCTATTACTCCAGTGATCGTATAAATTGAGCATATAAATATTAACTATTCGCCATCAAATTTTTGGAAAGAGAAAAATTAAAAATTTGGTTGAGAAAAAAAGTATGAATTAAATAATTGAAAAATTGCACTAGTTAGTAAAAATTCTCCCGTTTTTATAATTTTTTTAATTTTGTTCATTTTTTACAATCTTTCCGCTTAATAATACCAAAAAAATATCTGATTAATCTAGCCTGCAGCTACGAAACTACATTCACCTTTGCAAACCGTTTTATCGAATAGCGGGAAAGCGTTAATTAAATACAATACCGTGAAAAAAAAATGAAAAAAAAGAAAAAATTGAAAAGAAAAACGGTTAAACAACATTTATTTCAGCTAAGGCAAGCAGTCTAGGCTTGATCAGTACTTTATAACAGAAGTAAAATTACTAAAAATGAAACCTGCCCATCCGGGTCTCATTTATACTTTCTTTTAATTAGCACGTGGTTGAAGGATCTCATCCTAATACTCAATGCAGCCAGACAAGTTATGATCTATGTTATTAGAAGGAAAACTCAAAAAAAAAAAGAAAATTAAATGTTAGAACCTAAAAAAAGCAAAAAAACAATAATGGGAGAAATTAGGGCAAATTCAAGATGAATAAAATCTATGAAAGCGCACTGAAAAAAATTTGAGGACAAATAAAAGGGTTTAAACAAAAAGGCATACAATTAAAATCTCACCACTTGAAGAATCCTTAAAATCTGCCTGAAAAGACTTTTATGATTTTTTATTTTATTTTATTTTTTATTTCAATTTATTTTTTTAAATTAATTTTAAATATTTTAAATTATATAGTTTTACAGCACAAAAGAAAAAATTTCATAAATTTGTTATTCAACAAATACTTACAAAAAAGGAATATTTACAAATATTTGGTATGGATTTGTTTATTAATTTCATTCATCATTTTTAGAAATTAAAAATACTCTTGCAAAACCTACCTCGCATTTGAATAAATTTCTGACCAATTCAGAAAGTTGCAGTAAAGTCATATTTTTGAGTGATGGTGGATTCGAGTCGCGCTGAATTTAATAAGCAGTTTAGATGAGAAAAATTTTTTAATTTATAAAACAAGAAATTCGAAGAATTACAGTTAAAGAATGATTCAGCCGAAAATATTATCACTTTTTTTTGTTTCTTTTTCATTATCAGCCAAATATGTAAAATTAAAATTTTTGAGAATAAAACACATTCTTGATAAAACACATTGAATATTTCAGATACGATGATAATCATACGATGATAAAATTTTAAATCGAACAAATAATTGAGATTTTAATTAATTAAAAATTTGATATGATGCACTTACATCAAAAATTTTGCCTAAAATTTGCTTATTTTCATTGATATATTCAGTGTATTCAACGACTATCTGATTAATAAATTCCATCAACTTCTGTTCAAATTCAGATTCCTGATGAAGGAAATCAGATTGGACAAGTGCGGTATGCTCAACAACGAGGTCCTGCAGGGTACAACATTTGGCATAAAAGTAAACATAAAAATAAATTCTTGCAATATAGCACATTTTTTGAAGTTAATGATATATGGGAATTAAATTTAAAAAAGACAACTGCGATATTATAAAAAATATTTCAAATTCTAAACCTTAATAAGTTTTAATTCATTATCACGTAAGGCCATAATTTTCAAACGGAGATATGAAAGTTGTTTTGAATAATCTAATCGAAGATCGATGATTTGATTATTGGCGAAATCAAGTTTCTCTCTCAATTGCGATATAACACTTAAATTTTCCTAAAATATAAAGTTTATTTACTAAATTCCATCAACTTCTGTTCAAATTTACTAAAAATTACTAAATATGAAAATATAAGAAGTTTCAACGTCAAAGATGATCTTTTCGAAAAATTACACTGTACTGAGTTTGCATAGTGTCGATCATGTCAGCCGTTAAATCAGAAATTGTGCAAGAATCCGACTTTTGTGCATAAAATTGAGAATAGAGAGCATTATATGCCCCTTGTAGCTCTTGATAATAATGCGTTAATTGCTGATATGCTTGTTCCAGTTCGGCTCGGTGTTTTTCCATTTCTTTCTCTTTTTCCTGCCATTCAACCAATTTACGACTATATTCATTTTCATTTAATAGTGCCTGAAAAATTTACTATAATCATCTGAAAAAGTATTATATTAAATTAAAGAATATTGTATTAAAGTAAAGAAAGGTGGATGTTCAGTACGAGTTAAAAACTCAGTTAATAACTTAACTTCAATGTCACTATGAATTATTCAACATGATGGATGAAAAGAACTGAAATATTCACCTGTCTTCGATATGTTTCTGTCATATCTTTTTGTTGTTCAAATTCACTTTCTCGCTGTTGTGCTTCCAACCTATCTTTTTCACGTAGTTCAACTATTTCTTCAAGTTTATCAACAAGATGTTCTCGTTCATTTAAAATCTGAAACCGTAAAGTGTGAAATTTCTAATTCAAACGAATAACTAAACTTTAAAGGATGAATAATTACTGCTTTTAATTGCTGTTTAAGTGACCATATTTCACCATTAAGCACGTTAACTGCAGTCTCCAATTCAGCATTTAATGTCATCAATTGATTAATATTTTCTGGCAGACTATCCTGAACCTTAGTTGTTTCCGTTACACATTCACACAACGATAAATTTTGCTCCAAAATCTGATCTTTACCGATGTTGCATAGATTTTCATTCTAAGATCAATTAGAAAACTAAAAAAAAATGCCATAAATGAAAACAATAAAAAAAATTGGAAATGAATGAGGAAAATTTATGCTGAAAAATCGAGTAATTGTTTCACTTAACACATATAAAAAACTACCTGAAAAATTTTTGATGGAACCACACTTATTGATGAAACCATGTCAAACTGTGATGGCGAAGCACTGCATTCGTTTGAATCATTTTGATCGCTATGAACTAATCCTGATTCTGAAAAAAATCAAGAGAAATAATATAAAATGTACAAAAATAAACATTTTTACAATAAAAACCCAAGAAAAATGCACTCATTCCTACCACTAATGCCTAACCAATAAATAAAATCTTACCATTTAGTCCAACGGACTGCAAATCACTATGAACAGTCACTAGATTTTCCATAATATCTTCGCACTGTGAAGCTACATCATTAGCAGAAACAATTGTTTGGCAAATTCCATCAATTAAAATGGGAGATATTTGTTTATGAGAAAAAACATCATATACATCCGCTAGAATTTCCTCAATATCTCCACATTGTGAAGCTGCTTCGTTGCTTAAAACTATCGTTTGGCAACTTGCTTCAAAATATGATGCTATTTCGCTGGTTGGCACTTTTGGTTGGCAGCTTGCTTCAGATTGAGAAGCCAAATCGCTGTTGAGAATTGCCGAAATTTGGCAACTATCATCAACCAACGCTGACGATAATTGTTTTTGCAAGAAAACATGGCAGCACTCGTTCAAAAGATTTTCCTTAACATTTTCACACTGGGAAGCTGTTTCGCTAGTCGAAACTGTCGTTTGGCAATTTGCATCAGTTAACACTGAGGATATGTGTGTTTGCGAGAATGCACAACTTTCTGTATTACTCAGAAACATATTTCGAAATTCTAATGGCGCATTCTAAAATATGAAGAAATAATAAAATATGGAAGATAAAATACGGATAAAATTGTATTATAATTCGTATCAAAATTCTGACAACTAAAATTTTGCTTCAAATTATTTCTATTGAGAAAAATAAAATATTTCTATTGAGAACTGAGAATAAACGATTAGAATAAAATTAATACCTCATCAGTACCATCACAATCCAATATCTTTCTTGCTGATTCTTGACCATTATCAATTGAAATAAATTTATGATTATGGTACTTTCCTTCTCCTACAACACTAACTTCCATATGATTTTGATTTAAAAGATCAGAGGAACTTCCACGTTGATTCTCCAAATTATTTATCTAAATATAGGAACCAGTAATTAATAAAAAATTTTAAGCAAAATCTACGATTTATAAGATGCTGAGAATGCTGAGATTGCATTTTTTGTCTTACTATATTTTAATCGTTCAACAGACCGACTGGACTATATATTTTCGAGAGACTGGAATGGAAAGGCTAATGATGAAGTCCCCATGTTGACAATTACGAAGGATTGCATCAAAGTTAGACGATGACTACAGAGACAGAGACAGGCTTCATATTAACGCAAAAAAAATATCTTAGTTTTTTATAAAAGAGGCTGAAAAACATTTATTTTATTGAATGAATCAATTAATTTAATGATTAAAGGAAATGTTATGTTTTAAATATCTTTCTCTCTTAAACCAAATAGCTAAGTGAAACAAGAAATTTCATATCGATAAGCCGCAGCCAGAAATATCTCCAAGCGAAACTTCTGACAAAATACAAATAAGGAAGGGAAAGGACTTCAAACCACGTTTCACAGGATACTGGTACTTAAACTAATGTTCGCTATCTGGCAACACTACTCGCTTATCTCGTTATATAGAAATATAAAAAAGAAATATAAAAATAGCTAAGAGTAGAAAATTACAGAACAGATATCGAGAAATTATATACCCATGACCATCTTTCGAATGCATTAATAATATTACCAAAGAACGTCAAATGGTGGTTACGTTTGGTTCTTCGATGCTTAATAAAGACATACCGCTACTTGCTAAGCTCTATAGTGTATGCCATATAAAGAGGAATGATCAGTTGATCGGAACTGATATGGTTAATGAATCTGAACCCACAGGGTATGATACTAAATAAAAACGATGAGTTGAGTAGTTTCTATTAGTTCCTCATATAGCATTGGGTCGAGGCGCTTGAAAATGCCTTACCCTTGCCTTATTTTTTTAATTAGCCAAATTACTACAAGGTATGGTGAGATTTAAAAGAAGAGCAAGCAATGCAATAGCATAAGCCATAAAAAGAGGCGCGATATATATTAAAAATAAGGAAAGCAAAACTGTTATATTAAGTAAAAATGGAAATATAAAAATTAAGTAAAAGTAAGTAAAGAGCTAACAATATCAGAAATGGTTCTATTTAATTTATTTTTGAAACTAATGATAATAATGAAACTGCAGAAACTAAATGAATAAGCAATTTCTTCCAATAGTTAATTCTACGAATGAGAAAATTTAGATATTAGATAACTTACTATTGTATCAAGCATCATATCGTTCGATTGAGTCAGGTCATTTTCTTGCATTCTCGCTTTTTCTAGTTGTTTATCTAATTCATTCTGTAATTCGAAGTTCATACATTCGACACGACACAGATCTCTTCGTAGTCTTTCACACTCCTCTCGAAGAGAATCCATTTCTTGTCCCATTCTTACCAAATCAATGATCTCATCTTAATTTATCAGCTTTTTATAAATTTTTCACTTCAGTCAATTGTTTATTTATGAGAATGAAAAATAAATATAACATAAAAATAATAATAAATGAAAAATCATTTAATTCTAAAAAATTATAATTAACACACCTTGATCAGTTGAATTTGAATCTTTCTTAAATTTTTCATTTTCTTCACGAAGTTTATTTATTTCTTTATCCTTCTCATCGAGTAATTCATCAGTTTCTCTCCAGTGTTCCAATATTTGTTCATTCATTTCTCTCAGAATACTGATTTTTTTCTCCATGTTTAGCAGTTCTAAAAAAAATGATGGAAAACCTACAATTTTGCTATCTATCTTCATTTATTTATTATTTGTCTTTTTGCATTATTGTTATTAGTCAATAGTTGAATTCCAGTTTTCCAACAGTTAATGTCATTTCCGTTAAATCTCGTAAATTTTATAAATAGATGATTTAAATATTTTTATTGCCATTTTTTATCATTCAGTCAATTATCAATTAAATATTCAAAAATTGAACAAGAAAATAAAATAACCATTATCATATTTCTCTTTATTCTTTTTTTCTTCATATTCCTTCCGGATTGATATTGTTTTTAATCGATCAATTTCACATTCTTTCTAAAAATAATGCCAAATATGACCATTATAAAGTAAACAGATCGAATCAAATCAAATCAAATATTTAAACTATAATTTATCTTTCATACACGTTCGAATAAGTTTATTCACCTATAATATTGTTCCATATTTTTGCTTATTTCATTTTTATGCAAAATTTCAGAATTTACATCTATTACAAAAATTATTTGAATCTAAATTTTATTATTTCGCCAGAAGGCAAATTTTCAATTCCTGTTTATCAGTAAGAATAAAATACAATACATAAGTGGAATGCGAGAGGTTATTGGTCTCAAAAAGATCTCATCAAAAAGCTGCTAAAAGAATATTTTTTATATTTTTTTTTACTTATTATCACTAATAAACTCTATCTGATAGAAGAAGACTGCACGCCTACTGATAATTTTATTTGCGAAAGAAGAAAAAGGACGTTAAAAAGCGTTACAAATAATCATTCTATTCTATATTTTCACTGAATCATAGCAACAAAATTCTTTTTCATTTGCTTTTTATAATTTTCCATTTTGAATTTTTTTGAAAAATAAATTTTATTAAGAGACGTTTTTTTTTTTAAAAAAATCCTCAGAACATACCTCATTGATTATTTTTCTTAAATTTTCAATTTTCAATTCATTTTGTTCAAATATTTCATGTTCATTGATAATTTTCGCTGATAGTGTCGAATTCAATGAAACAGCCGAATCACTTTTCGTATTTTTATTATCATTATTTTCAACGAGTTTCGATTTGATTTCATCAAGATTCGCAACAAGTAAAGCATTGTCGTTCTCTAGCGATCGAATTTTAAAAGTAAGCGCTTTTATTCGAAGTTTTTCATCTGAAAAAAAAAAAAGATTATATTCGAATTATATAAATATTAATAGAAATCACCATCAAATAAACTAAAAAAACGAACTAAAAAAAAAAAGCCAATGACCGGTTTTTTACTTTCTATCTCGTCGAACTGCCTACCATATACCATTTCATTTCTTTGTTCGTTTTTCACTAAAAAACATTTGCATTCCAAGGACAAAAAAAAAAACACTGCCTACTACTTTAATAAGAATTTTTCAATATCCACTAATCTCATGCGTTGTTACGTACAATTTATTTTAAGAAAAAATAAATTTATTTCCATTTTTTTTTATTTTTTAAAAATTTAATTAAAAATTAAAAATTTAATTTGAAGCAAAATTATACGAAAATTTTAATTGTTATTAAAAATTTGTTAATAAAAATTTATTAAAAATTTATTAAAAATTTAATTTATTAAAAATTTTATTAAAAATTTAATTTGAAGCAAAATTATACGAAAATTTTAATTGTTTTTTTTCACTGATTGTGGTGGCAAACCGGATTTTTTCGTGTAAAAATTTTAAAACAAATAATGCAATATATATATATATATAAGCAATCATTAAAATATAAATTGCACTATAATTTTTTATTTATAAATATATTTTTTAAAATATTTTGACAACACGCATTGTTATCGATTTTCTAGCTTAAAAATCCAATGTGAGCGTTTCGTTTCGTATTTGGACATATTTTGAAGACTAGGAATTCTGATTTCAAAAATCGAGTAAGGGATTAGCAATCATCGCTTCTAGCTAGACTCGCTCCATTTGCTGCTGAAATTTTTGCTACAAATTCGTTTCGTAAATTTTTGCCAATTAGTAAGCTTAGCTATAGAAATACAAGTGGTACCATTTTCTAGTACAATTTAGTTTTTTTAATGGCATCCCTGTCCAAGGAAAAATCTAAAAATTAGCGATCTTAGGCCGAGTAAGAACTACTCGCCTATCATGTCCACAACGAAAAAAATTTACATTGTTATGATGTCGTACAATTCGAAAATTCATAATGAGCTTTACGTACGATCCGCTTTTATTACATTGCACATTTTGCTGTAACCTTGTTACTTATTGCGTTAATCGCTTTTACTTTCATTCCTTCGGCGTTAGCCGAATATTCTATAACACGAAGGATTCAAAGAATATTCTTTGTACAGCTGCTACTAAAGTTATCTAATCTAATCAGTTGCTGAAATCAATAAACGATGATGCATTAATATCGATCCTTGCTTCAGTCCAGATATCGGCCGGTAGATATTCCTTGATTTGCTTTGATCCGCCGATTTTTATTCGCTAACAATTCAACCAACTTTCATGACGAGTGGAAAAGATGCAATCGCTTATTCTAAACACCGCCATTCCTAGGCCATTGCATCAGTTAGACATGTAGTGGCTGGGTTAGGGAAGAACAGTTCGTAGTCTCTTTATATTAAGCAAAATATGGGGGAGAGCAAAGAAAATGGTTTTTTTAAAATGAAATCTATAAATAGTGAAGATGCTATGAAAATTGTAAATTGTGACAGCAGAGGATTTTAAAAGAATTGCACAATTCTGAACATTTGATAGAATAAAAAAAATTTCCTGTGATTCGCTTTACTGCGTTTGGAACCAAACACACTTCCCCAGCTTCTTTTGAAACTAAAAAATACACCGAACTCGCTTCTAAAATAATTTAGGCAAATTTGATTTTGGATTTATAATGTTAAGGAAATTACGGCTAAGTTCTATTAATTATAAATTTTAGACAATTTTAGACAAAAATATAATTATCGAAAATTAGGCGATGCTAAAGTGTCCAAATTGTAAAGTCGACAGTATTAAAAAGCAATTTACTTGGAAGGGCGTTTTATATGGTATTCTGTGCTTCCCTTGTGGACTTTATTGCTGCTTAAAGAGTTATCGACAACAGTACTGTCCACTCTGTGGTTATCAGGTATCGCTTTTTAATAATGAATAAAAATTTTAAATTTTAAAATTTAATTTTTATCGTCCTAGATTGTCATTGGACAATCAACAACAGAATTACCTTTATCGTCATCAGCACCGCTCAAACAATATCGTTTCTATAAGTCAACTCAAGTCAATTCCAAAGCTACAGAATCTACAACTGCCACTTCAGAAGGCAAAAATCCTAGTCTTGAATAGTTTTTCTATGAATATTTGCTTATTTATTGTATATAAATACATATTCATATTTAATTTATATTTTATTATGATGTTTTATTCAGTAATGTTTTCTATTTGAAATATTTTTCGATTTTTTTTTACATTTCGAATTTTTTTCACTTTTATCAACAGAAGATGAATGCCAATCTATAAAATAACACTACAGCTAATTTCACTTTGTCTTTTTGCTTTTCTTTCTCTTATTTTACGAAATATTATATGAAAAGGTTGTGAAACTATCTATAGTTAAACGAGTAAATAATTATTATTTTAGATCTTTAAACAATGATAATATTTTTAGCGAAAATTTTTTTGAAATCCAAAAACATTTAACTGATTAAAAAAATTCAAGAGAATAAAGTATAATAAAGCGATAAGGAATGGCAATCAATCATTTTGCAAAAAATTCCACTGAATATATCTTCGCTTTTATAAAAAAATTATTTCTTGGACTTTTCTGAGATAACTGATGAATGCGCTTAGCTATTTATCTGTTTAAAATAAAAAAAATTAATTTAATCTGTTTTTTTCTACAAATGAGAAATTAAAAAGAAAAATAAAAAATAACAGAAAAAAATGAAAAAAACCAACCATTATTTATTTTGACCATTTGATCCTTTTCCAATTCTAACGCCTTTAGCTTCGTTTCGAAAGCTTTCGATTTGATCAGTGTTCGCCGATCAATTTGCGATACACCTAATGAATCTCGCAATATTCCAACATGCTGCTCGTAAATAAAAATATCAGTCTCAAGTACTTCTATATATTCCTCCAATGCTTCCAACGCTTCTTTAAAAAAATAATTTTTGCGAATATGAAAAAATAAATAAATAAAAGAGCGATAGGAAACGATAAATAAATAATGAGAAATTGCTTGAATTTGCAGATAACATTAGCAAATATGAAATTAGCAAAAATTTTGAAGGCCCATTTGTAACTTAACATATTTTACAATCTCTTATCCAAATCACCATATTTCTTCCTCAATATTCATTCACCATTATCCACTTATTATGCTCCCATTCACCGTTATGCTACTCTTGCAGTTTTATAATCCATAACTGCAAATTTAAAGAATTATGATTATGTCTCAAGAGGTTCAGTGACAAAACAGGATTCATGACAAAAAGGGATATAAAACTATCAACGGAAAAGGAGAATAGAATTTAGGTCGAGGTACAGTGGGTTTCTGGGGAATATTAATGTAATAAAAAATCACAATAGGGTTCAGCAGTATATTTTAGGGGAATATAACGCAGATCTTGCAGAATTAACAAAAGCATAATGGGCTTCACCGGTTTAATGATAATACAATGAATTAAAGAAGATTAAGGAAATTTTTTTGTATATATGGGAAGTAATAATACGTTTTGAAATATACAAGGAACCATAGTAATGGCAAAGTGGTTAGAATCGTATCAAAAAATTTTTAGTTACGAATGGGCTCTAGCAAAAGAATGTGGCAAGATTTGATGGACTATTAAGAGAATATTGTGAGAAGAGAAAAGTAATAAAGGGATATTTCCAGGAATACTGTTTTTGCTACAAAATTACAAAAGAATTATAGATTAAATAAAATTACAAAATTATAATTATGATTATAAAACAATAATGCGATTTAAAAAATGTATTTTTCTAGCAAATTATGCATCAACATAATACCTTTATCAAATGAAAAAACTTCCGCCAGATTTTCAAAACTCTATAAATATTTGTATAAGCTCTCCAGAAATAAAAAAAATTTAAAATTTCTTGGAAAATAAATAAAGATATCTAAATCCACCGAGCAATACATCAGCTCTCCATACATTGCTTAATATTCTTTCAAAACGCCACATTTCCTCAATACTTTCTTCATGAACCATATACACCATATTTACTATACTCCAAATCGTCATCTTAACGATTTTCGAATCCCTATTACAAACACTATATAACACCAGTCCTTGACAAGTCACTTTTAACAAGTTCCTTTAAAATTTTTGAGTATGACCATCACAAAATGGCAAGACGCGATTTGCTAAGAGTACAAAACAAAAGCATGAATCAAAAGAAGTTAAAATGAGTATGCGAATAAATTATGGAAAAAGAATAGAGCGTGAAGTACTGAAGTAAAATTACGGGACTCCGGAAGCGTTAGCGAGTGGTTTGAGAAATTTTTCTAGATATAAAAGATTTTGAAAGACAACAAAGAAAACTAATATAAATTATTGTATAGAAGATATAGATGAATAATTTATTATACAGATAAATTATTTGCCAATTTAATAAAATGATTTTAAAAGGACCTTTGAGGCGTTCAACATCATCCAAAATCGAGATTTTTTGCTCAAGAAGAACTGTTGCAGTTGCACGAGTATCTTCCAAATCATCAGCTAATTTGACAATTAATTCCCGATCATTTTCTAATTTCAAACGAATTTTTTCTCGTTCACTAAGGCTTTCATTGAGTTCTTCTCTTAAATCGTCGATCTTCTGCCTGACGAATAAATATATATTAGTATAATATTAATATATATTAGTCGAATTTATAATAAAAAGTATTATTTCCATCTTTTCATCTAATTTAAATTGTGAAAAACAATTTCTTTTAAAAAAATTATAAATTCGACTTTCACAGAAAATTATAAAATTTATTCGGTTAATACAACTGTTGAAACCTTAATGAGCTTAACTGCTCCATTAATTTGCCGTTTTCTTCAAGCAACCACTCACGAGCATTTCTTAATGTTTCTTCTTTCGATTTCATTGTTTCTACCTTCAATTTAAATGGATTTTTAGAAAGAAAATATTTATTTAAATCCTTGAAATTGAAAAATTTTAATGTTACAAAAGAACTTTAGAATTCACCTCAATATTGTACTTTGTTTCCATTGATGCAATTTTCTCCTCAAGCTCACGGATTCGGGTCTGAGAAGCTGCTCGAGCTTTAAAGACTAAATTCTTTCCATCATGACGTAGCTGTTCCAATTCAGCTTCCAGCTTTAATAATTTTAATATAATCTTAACATTATTCTATAATTTCAAACGGAAAATAACGTAGAATAATTGAACTAAATGGCTCAATGATGAATAGTGATAATGAACGTTTAAGTAAATAAAAATTATTCCAATAATAAAACTTAATAATAATTCCATTTTGTGTTTTTTTTTTTAATCATAAACGACGCAATTTGATCAAACAATAATTGCAAAATCAAATATTATGAAAATCAAAACATGAAAATCATAAAACTTTTTCTATGCGATCTTTCGCTGAGTGTTCGCCATTCATTTCCATTTCCTGAATGATTCTTCTTAACTCATCATTTTCGGAAGTGAGATCAATTATTGTTTGAGCCACATCATCTTTATTCCCTAAATTATCCATCACATTTATTCATATTTACAAAAAAATACTAAATATAAATTTAAAATCTATTTTTTAGAGCAAAAAATCATTCAAAATCATTCAAATTTAATTAATTTTCCTAACTACATTAACAGATTTAAATTTTGAAGCGAATATTAAAAAAACTCAACCATTCTCTTCATTTTGCTGAGGTGGTAAATCAAAGGTAACTCTTTTGCGATTCTTATTTCGTTCACTATTTTTGGAACCAACATCAATATCTTTTATTTCCTTTTCCGTCGTAAATGAGCTATGATCTTCACTAGGATCAACTGGTGGAGGAGAATGTCGATCACCTGTACAATCAAAAAAATTGAAATATGAAAAAAAAGAAGAAAAAAGAATGGCTATAACGCATGAGGTACTAAAAAATCAATATTTCCAACATATTTCCAACCACCTCATTTAAAATGAATAAATGAAAATAAATTTAGTTGAAGTAAAAAAAAAATTTTCTTCCGAATATGAAGCTTCAAAAAATAAAATAACCTGTTTTAATCTGCATAACTGCATGGCCTGGCAAAAATGTTTTATTGACAGAACGAATTAATCGACTGGAAGAGGCAGTTAGACACCCATTTAAAGCATTATTATTATATTCTGTAAATACTTTTTCATCCGTCTCTGTTGAACATTCTTTTGTAGTTCGCGAACTGGCTTCCTTAATGGAATTCTTCAACATTTTCTACACAGTAAAATTTAAAAATAAACATGGATCTATTTCCTAAGCAAGTTAAAACTTTTTTTAAGAGTCCCCACCATTACTGGTTAAATTCGCTCGACTGGCTTGTCGCACTAGACAAATATGCCAAGAAGTTCCTTGGCGATAGAATGACAGGTGAGTCGCCAGTTTCATTCAGATTTTTGGACAGGTTTACTCCTATGAGGAAATAGAACCTCAGCATTGGCGCTCCGAATTTAGCAATAACTCACAAAGCCATTATATTCCCAAACAAGTTAAAATTACAAAATAGTAAAAGCAAAACGTTAATAAACCAATCGGATTAAAAAAACGAAAGGAAAATGCTGATGAAAAATTTCAAATCATAAACTTGGAATTAAAAATAAACCATAAATTTGTGTTGCATAATTTGGAATGCTTTTGTTTTTGCTTGAGCAACCTGGTCTTGTTCACGACACATTTCTTGTAAATCAAGGATTTGCCTCTCTTTGTCTAGGATAACACTATTCAGTTCCATTATTTTATTATCCTGCAATAAAATATTGTAATAAAAAAATGAAAAACCATATGCTTTATGAATCTCAGTCAAAAGCATAGCTGTGCGAAGATTAAAATATAGCTCGATATAAGATCATAAATTGATTCCAACAAGTAATTTTGTATTTTAAGTCCCATCCAACTTTTACTTACAGATCCATTAATAGCATAGTTTTTTTCTAAATTACAGTAGATTTTCTCAAAGTTTTCTTAATAAAAATTTTGATTTTTCATTTGATTAAATGTTCTTTCAATTTAATCGGGAAAAATGGACGTCATTTCCTTAAACGAAATAAATTAATAAACTAGATCAACTGTAGCCTAATCCTATTTATAAATTAGCAATGATATGATGACTTTGTAAACAATCTGCGCATGCAATCGTTCGAAATCTGGACAATTTCCCACATCAACTTGTGAAGAAGTTTCATCGCATTCTAATAATTCAAACTTCTGCGTTTTTATTTGCTCATCTATTTGCTAAAATGAGGAAATCATCAGTGAAATGGAAAATATCGGTATAATTTATTATTAAAAAACCGCAGAGAATATGAAAACTATTAAGTAAAATAAACTTCTAAAAGTAATGTTAAATGATCCAAATCCATTTGCCGTGTACTTAAGTCGCTCTTCAATAAAGCATTTTCCTCTTCTACGTGATAAAGATGATTTTCTAAACCAATTATTCGAGCAACCAAATCACCATTCACATGCTAAATTTAACAAATTTTTTCTTTAAACTCTTAAAATTCTAAAATTTGCAGCAATCAAAATCATATAATTCTCAAAAGCAAAAGCAAAAAGACAAGCTTCTTACAACTTATACCATTGATACATTAAAAATCTTTCCTGACTGCTTTCTTTATCCATAGAATTTTCACTATTAAAAAATAGATTAATTCAGAGTCACATGAGAAGAGGTTCAACTGGAACTCCAGAAACCATACATTCTGATTATAATTTTTAAAAGGCCTATATCAATTTTTCTTTATTGAAAGAAAAAAAAAGTCAAATATAGCTAAAAAAAGGTTTATCCAAACAAGCAAAATAGGAAAATAAATAAAATCCTTTCTTAAAGTTCTTATGATTAAAGTTCTTATTATTATGATCCAACTAACTGACTTCTAACTGACTTATCAAAAGACCAAATATGGGCGAAAAAAAGCACTTCAGAAATGAGCAATTAAGATTTTTATATGAAATTAGAATATTTTTGCTAAACAAGAATTCTTAACGATAGAATTACTTCAGTCATATTCAGTCAACCAGCAGAAATAGCAGAAATGCTACTAGAACTCAGTCGTAACATAGTTAATTAAAAATTAACATGATCGCTCAAATTTGACTGGAACGCCTGTTGTAGTTGAGTGAGTTTAGCCTTTGACTTTAATCGTTGATTTGTTAATAGATTATTTAAATTCTGAAAAAAATTTTATAAGCAAAGAAAATTTCAAGATTTTGAACATTTTCATTTTTCAAATTTCCAAATTTCCCTGAAGCAAACAACCTGAATCTCTCGATCTTTCGAAACAATTTGCGATTTGTAAATATTGCACGACAGACATTCCATTTTCCTTTCTTTTTTTTTAATTTTTCATAAAATCTTTTTTACGAACAATAAACAGGAAAATCATCGAACATCACTCCGATCAGCTGAAATATATTTTCGTTTAAAATTTGATTATTTTCGATATAAGAAAAAAATAATAATTCGCACAAACGTTTTTTATATAAATACAATGAATATGCTAACATTAATAAATTTAATGAAAATATTTATTCGATGGACAAAAAAATACTGAAAATAGTATAAAAACTGTAATATCCATCAAAGAATGAAACAAATAGATATTTCATTAATAGGTTGCACCATAAATTAGTAACTCTGGTAGCACAAAATGATAAACTATGGAAAAACCTTGCAGTTCTCGTGTTTCGCGTTATCTTGTCTGGGAAGTTGAAACATAAAAATCCACCGAAATTTCCATAAAAGCCCTCGCCAAATACCAAAGGCGTGATTATCAACTATCACAAAAGCACCAGCAATAAGCTTGCGCTCCAAAAAAAAAAAATCTAAGAGACGCTCGCAATTCGCCTGTTCAATGATTCAACGCGAAATTCTGTTCGGTGCGACATGTAAGCGAAACGAATCGAACGAGCAATGACGAGCGCTTTAAAAAATTAATAGAATAATTAATAAATAAATAAAATAATAATAACAAAAAAATTATAATAATAAAAATAATAAAAAAATGAATGATAAAAACTGGTAGAAAAATTTAAAATAAAATAATAAAATTTGAAAAATAAAATAATCTAATAATAAAAATTAATAGAATAATTAAAAAATAAATAAAATAATAAAACAAAAAAATTAAAATAGTGAAAATTAATAGAAAAATAATAATAAATAATAAAAATTAATAGAAAAATTTGAAATAAAATAATAAAACTTAAAATTAAATAATTTCATAATAAAAATAATAGAATAATTTCTAATTAAAATTACAAAATATTAAATATTAATATTAATAATATTACAATATAATATTAAATATAAAAATAATATTAAATATAAAGAAAAATATTGCAAAAATAGGAAAAAATCGTTGAAAATAAAGAAAATAACGTTAAAAAAAATTAATAAATAAAAATAATTTTCGCTGATTTTTTTTAGAAAAAATTTAAAAAACTTAAAAAGAAAAATGAGAAAAATTTCTATTAAAATGAGTAAATTGAAATTTAAAATTTAATTTTTTTTCCTATAAATAAATTAAATCACAAAACAACGAAAAAATTTTACGATAAAAAACGAGAAAAAAACGAGATGATGTGGAATATGAAAAATCTGCAATATAATAATTCGCAGCTTCGAAGCTATTTTAAGTGATTCGAATTAAGAAAAATGAAAATTGGTAGAATTTCCATAGTCGCAGTGGAGCGATATATTTTTAATGTTTTAATGTTGTCAATTAATTATTTATAAATTGTCCTGCGCCCCGACGATTTGTGGTACTTAGACGGATCGCTGAACCTCGGGTACCACGTCGGATTTACCCGCGCAGTCAGTCTTGCACGCCTAATCTGTTTTTTCATCAATAATGAGTTGTTATTAGAAAGAAAAGCCGCATTATAGAGTTATTTTAGGAGAAATTCGCGGTTAAAAATTAATAATAATTTTATAATTTTTTTTATAAATTTTGAATCATTTTTTGCAAAAATATTTTTTAATAGTTTCGTTTATAAATATTTTTTATAATTAATTTATAAATATTTATAAATATAATTAATTTATAAATATTTATAAATATAAATATTTTGTGCGAATTTTATAATTTGTAATTGATTAATTTATAAATTTTGAATCATTTTTTACTCAAAATATTTTTTAATAGTTTCGTTTATAAACATATTTTATAAATATTTTATAAAATATCTGTAAATATAATTAATTTAAATATTTATAAATATCAATAAATATAATTAATAATATTTTGTGCGAATTTAGGAAAATGTCTTCAGAATTAGCGCGAAAAATTTTATTAAATTCTGGCTACGAAATACCGATAATTGGCCTCGGGACGTGGCTGTCAAACGAAGGCGACGTAGCGAAAGCGGTGAGCAGCGCTGTCCAAGTCGGCTACCGGCATTTCGACTGTGCCTATGCCTATATGAATCAGTTCGAAATCGGAAACGAGTTGAATCGATTGTTTAACGATGGAATCGTTAAGGTTTCTTTTTTTTATTAAAAGAAAATATTTTTTTGAAAAAAATCTTTTTTTTTTGTAGATAATCAAATTTCTATAGGCTTAGTTTCATAAACATTTATGATATCGTAAAATTTTCGATATTTTGGATTTATGGGAGGTAGAATGACGGCTCAGTGGGTTTTAGTTCTCATGTCGATGCTGGGGTTCCATTCCTGGCAGGTCATCTCGTCCAGAAATTCGTAGATGATGCTGGAGATTTATTTATGCTTTTCTCGTAATTTTCCTGACAAAATCTGGTCCGGCAAGCCAGCGGAGCGAGCCAAACCGAAAATGGTGAGCGGTCTTAGTTAAAACAATAATTTTTGGATTCGTGAATGTGATTTCCAGTTTTAAATATCATTCAGGAATCATATTACATAAACTGTATGCAAATGACGAAAAATAAATTTGTTATTATCATATGAAATTTATAAAATCTATAAATTTTGCAAATATTTGTTTCGCATAATGATTTTTTAATAATAATAAATTAGCGGCCGAAAAATTTCCTACTAGTAATCGATCGACTTTTTCAATTACTTTTTTAGAAAAAAATATGAAATATAATAAAATATGATTTATGAAATATTTTAATGTTTTAGCGATCTGACGTTTTTATAACATCAAAAGTATGGAATACGTTTCATTCGTATGATCGAGCGATACAAAATGTTGACGATATTTTGAAAGAATTAAAGACAGATTATTTAGATTTATGTCTTATACATTGGCCTCACGGTTATGAAGAAGGTCGATCTATGTTTCCTTTGGTTTGTTTCTTATATATATATATATATATATTTTTTGAGTTATAAATTTTAATTACTCTTATTGTTCTTTTAGTGTGTTTTATTTTTGTCTTTATTTATTTGAGCATGTTTTTTATGTGAAAATATTCAACTAGAAGTATGTTTACAGACATATGATGAAAAAAAAATGCGATACTCGGATGTAGACTATATAGAAACATGGAGAGCATTGGAGGCATGTGTTGTAAGCAAGAAAGTTAGGTCGATAGGTGTTTCCAATTTCAATCATAAACAGATCGAAAGGATAATTGGTGACTGTAGCATTAAACCAGCTGTTCTTCAAGTATTTCTTTCATTTTATAAATTCATTTCAAATATTTTTCTTCTTCTAACAGCTCTCACCAATACTGATTACTAATTAAGTTGGCTGCAACGACTACAAGGGTAAGACGCTTCCTAGCGGCAAGGTCTGATGATATCGTCGACAGTAATGGAAGCCATTCCTTTTTCCATCGTCTAAGTCCATATATTGCTAGTCCACGTATACGTTCAAAATCTTTCCTATCGGTCCAGGTCTTGATTGGCCCATCTTGCTTGCCATTCATCGCACGTTAGCAAATAACGAAATATGCGTTAACTCATGTGGTGGACGACGGAGAATGTACCCTAACCAGCGAAGGCGGCGCTCTGTGATAACATTATTTATGCAAGTGGTATTTGAACAAAAATGGATCCGATCTTGTGATATCTTATACGTTCGACGGATCCGTAATATATACCTTAGACAAGAGTGGTCAAAGGCAGACTTAATATCCTCTATTCTCATTGACCATGTCTCAGAACCATATAGAACGGAAGATTGAACGGATCACGGCTATATAGATGCTGACTTTCGTTTTTATGGTGATTTCACGACGACTCCATAAAGGTTTCGTCAATGCATTTCTAACTGCCGTGATCCGAGTTGTCCGAGTAATATCATTTTTTGCCTGTCCATTTGGTATTAAGTGGGCCCAGGGTATTTAAAATCGTGCACTTTCTCAACCGGCAAAGAATTTACAAAAAGAGGCATTTTATTCTTGCACATAAGACGAAAAGATTTTCGTTTTATTGATTGTCGATCCTGAGTCCGATTCTTTCTGCACAGTTTCTGACACGTTATTTAGTATTACTTGCATTTCGTTATAACTGTCAGCAAAAAGGACTACATCATCAGCATATTCAAGATCTGTGATACCATGTTCTGGACTAATTCAGACACCTCTTGAGTGTCGACAAGCAGTGTCCATTATCCAGTCTATCGCATAGTTAAATATTGTGGGGGAAAGGACGCAGCCCTGACGGACACCTGTTTTTATTTCGAAGGAATCTGCCCCCCATATACACAGACCTGCGTCGACTCATAAAAAGCTCATAAAAAGCCTTTATGAGTCTAATGATTTTTTCTGGAACACCATCACGTTCCATCACCCTCCAAAGCGCCTTTCTATCAATTGAATCAAAGGCAGCCGCAGAGTCGATGAAACACGTAACAGTGGGTTGCATATATCTGAAGCGATGTTCCAACACCCTTCTTAAGGTGAATATCTGGTCAGCACAACCGCGCCCTGGTCTGAAACCAGCTTGATTAGGGCGCATCCTGCTGTCTCGTACTTCCATAAGTCTGTTGAGTAGCAGGGAAGCAAAAATTTTTGTTGAGACGTCTCTTTGTTCTTATTGCTGGATAGATGTCTAACTTTTAATTACCAAGATATTGCAGAAGTAATTCCAAATATCCTAAAAGGAAGTTTTTATGAATTCTTTGTTTTCTTAATTTTAAAGGTATGAAACTGAAAAATCATAAGTTAGTGAATTTTGAAAAAATGTCTATGTAATTGATAATTATTTCTGACAGGTCGAGCTTCATCCTTATTTCCAACAGAGAAAGCTCAGAGACTTTTGCAAAGAGCATGGGATTGTAGTTACAGCCTTCAGTCCTCTTGGAAATCCAACTATGCCGTTCCGTAAAAAAGATGATCCTATCATCTTTGATGAACCAATCATTAAGAAAATCGCTGAAACTCATGGAAAAACCCCAGCGCAGGTTATTTTTTACTGTAGCTTATTTTTAAAAATCCCATATAGTTCTGAATTAAGCCATTTAGTTAAAATTTTAAATATCTTGAAAATTGCAAAAATACAATGAAGGATAATATTGTTTTGTAATTTTTAATTATAATTTTACAAGCAGTTATAGGTTAATGAAATTATTTATACAAATTTGTCTACGAGCGAGAAGAACTATCTTTAAAGCTTGGCATACTTTTTTTCTTCTTAAAATTATATTTTTTGATACTATTGCTATACCTTCATCCTCGCCAAATCCCTATAATTTCGAACTGGCACTTTAATAATTTTTTTTAATAAACTTTCGAATAATTTTTTAATAATTTTTAATGAACTTTTAATTTAGTTTAATAAATTTTTTTACTGTAGGTTTAAAATACGGTAGATTTCAATAAATATTATTCAGCGATTCACTGGGTCAAGATTACGCTGAAAATTTTTGCAAACAGATACTAGCATTTTATTTTTAGATGTTCCCTCTTAATTTATGTTTGTAAAGTGACAAGGATAATTTATACCAGCTTATTGGAAAATTTTTCAATTTTTCAAATAAATTTTGGGCAAAATTTTGGTATTTATTTGCTACTCTTTACTATAACTCTTTCTTCCTTATCCCTCATTGTTTTCTCTATATCAATTTGTCGATTTTCCTTTCTGCTTTTAACGCTTTCTTTGTTATATTCTAGGAATAGCCGACATTGAGAAAATGCCAAATTAATGAATTAGCCTGTTCTATTTTGCACTGTATCTCTCCGTTTTTTCCAGGTAATATTGCGATGGGCAATCCAACAAGATATTGTTGTTATTCCGAAATCGGTAACACCAGCGAGAATACACGAAAATATCAAATTATTTGATTTCACATTAGAACCAGATGAAATGAGTCTCATTGATTCACTTGACCGTAATTGGCGTATTCTTAATTTATATTCTAGGGACGGAGATCATCCGTTATATCCTTTCAATGAAGAATATTAAAAAATTTATTTTTTATGAATTATTTTCAACTTGATTTTATTTTTTAAATTGATTTTGTGAAAATTGATTTTTCGGTGCTCAAGCAATTCATTTAAATTGCTCATCAATATCGGTTTGAAACAGGTTATTTTCCATTTTTTTATATGATAAGGCTTTTTATATTTTCTTGCAGTTTGCACATTTTTTAAAAACCAATCAAAGATTTGAATAAAGGAAATATTGAGCGGGTTCCTTGCGAAATCATTAAATTACTTAAAATATTGCTTTTTGTTGTTTTATGTATTTTTTAATCTTTGTTTGTGTTCTCTTTGTTCTTACTGCTGGATAAAATTTTCATTATTTTTTTTCAATTTTTAATAATTTTGTTCGAAGTAATAATTTTACAGTTTATACTGATGTAATCTAATGAGAATGCTATCGCCAATTTATTTTCTCTCTTCTCCATTTCTTTGACCTCGTATTTAATCAGCGTTTATCATTTCACTTTTTCAGCAGGTTGTGCGCTTGAAAATTTTATATAAATGAGCCAATTGGTGATAATAAAAGTGCACATCGTTGATAAAACGATTAAAATTTCTTAAATTGATAAAACAACGATTGCCACTTTTTTTATCAAAATTATTTGCAGCTTTTTAGAGATTTTATTTGAATTCAAATTCAAAGGCAAGAAAAGTTCCGATCCTTAAAGCTACAAATAGTATTCTGTTGAAAATGTGCAATGGCTTTAGGTTTAATGAAGACTGATAATATATAAATAACACTAGGCCATTATAAATCGTATAACGCTGAGGATCGTATGAGAGAAATCATTTATATTTGTGGTGAAAATAGAAATATTATTTTATAGGTTGAAATAATAACAAATAATAATTATGGCATAAAATAAGGTCGTTTTAAAATTTAAAATGTTCGAATAAACACTGGTTGGTCGCCCAAATTTAAAATGGTGTTTTTAATAAGAAACAAGCGTTTTGAAAAAAGCGATTTTTCATGTAAAAACGTAAGTAAGTAAAATTAATTATACGAATCGCTTTTTATAAATTTAATAATAAAATTATAATTATAAATTATCATAAAAAATATTACTTTTGCTTAAAGTAAAATTAATAAATTGAAACATTTTTTTACAATAAGACTTATTTATAAAATTTGGACTTAGACGATGGAAAAAGGAATGGCTTCTATTACTATGCGAAGGATGGCGTTGGATCGAATTGCTTGGGCTTATCCTTACTGCCAGCCGAGCCAGTTAGCCTAAAAAATATTTCTCTCCGAATAATGCAAAATTAAAAATCACGAAAAACCAAATAATTCATCCTTTCTAATTATTATCACCAATTCGTTTATTTTTTTAGAGAGTCCTCAGCATTACTGGTTAAACTCGCTCTACTCGCTTGTCGCACTGGACAAATGTCCCAAGAGGTCCCTTGGCGATAGAAATACAGGTGAGTCGCCAGCATCACTCGGATTTTTGTGCAGGTTCACTCCTGTCGTTTGTTTTCACGAAATGATATTTCTTAATTATTAGAAATATTATAAAAACATTTTAAAAACAATTTTAAAAAAAAATTATTTAAAGTAAATGAATTGTTTTTGTTTTTCATTTTGCCTTAATAAATCCTCTTTTATCATTATCATTATCATTATCATTATCACCTTTATGTTATGAGCGGATAAAAATATAAATAAATGCCTATTATCCATTCAATTTCAATTTTATTGAGTGTGAACGCAACGAATAGAAATTCAACTCGCGCAATGTCTAATTCAAATACTAAGAAAAGTGCTTAAAACTTCTTATTTATGAACGGATTTTTAAAAAAAAATTTGGTAATTTTAATAAAGTAAAGCGATTTTTAATTATTTATTTATTGTTTAGATTAAATTTAATTACAAATGAAACCGAAAATTATTTTTTGAACGAATTTCAGAGAATAACAGAGAATAAAATTACGAAAAATCGAATTTTCCAAAAAAATTGTAATTGGAAATGAAAGTATAAAAGGTTTTCTCTTCATTGGTTGATATTTTTTTGCTATTTGTAATTTGCAAATTTGATTCATTTCATTGATAAATTGATAAATTTGATTATCTTTGATATTAATCTTTGAGCTTTTCGCTAAAAACTAAAGACATTATTTTTAATATAGTGATTTCATTCAAATGATTGATAATTTTTTAAAATCAATAATAATTGATAATAATTGATTAAATTAATAATTGCAAAGATGATAATAAATGGTTTCTTTTCTTTACAAATTTTTAATATTAATATAATTGCTAAATTATATAATAAATATTAAAATTGAAAAAATTTCATTTTAATTTTAAACTTAAAAATGGGAAACGATAAATGAATTTACATGAAATTTCTTAGAAATTTTAAATTAATCTCTAATAAACTTTTCAGCTTTTCGCATTCAGCGAAATAAACCCAATTTTGGTTGCAATCGAAATTCTTATTAAAAATACAAAAAAAGCGAAGAATTAATAAAAATTTAATTTGATGAATGAGATTTATCAAATAAAAAATTATTAAAAATTTTTTATCAAATGTGTACAATCGTTTTTTTCGCTTCATTGTTTTCCGTTTGCTTTCATCATAAAAAGAGAAAACAATAAATAACAAAGCGTTTATAAAATGCATGCGACACGTAATCTACACACAACAAATGCATGTAATACATTTCTATTCAAATTAGCTCAAATTAGGCAAATTGATAAGTAATATTTCTTTGCAATTATTCATTTATAAATAAGTAAAATAAATAAATAACAAATAACTATTGATTAACAAATAAATAAATAAAATAACTTTTTTCCTTTCAAATATTTTTCATTATCAAAAAATTTTTATTTTTATCACTAAATAAAATGCAGCTATAATTTTTATTGAATTGAATTTTGAATATTTTTAAAAAATCAAAATTTTTCAATTTTTGACTTTTCATTAATAAAAATTTCATAATTTTTAAATTATTCACGGAGAACTAAAAATTTATAATTTTTTATATTTTTTATATATAAAATGATTAAATTCTTTCAGTACTTTTCAATTTGTCTGAAACTCTCTGAAATCTCTATGCTATGAAAAAACTATATTCAAGTCGAGTTTATTGGTTATCAATTGTTTTTTATCAAATTATCAGCGTTTAAATTTATAGTGATTTTCATAAAATTTTTATTTTCTATAATAATGTCTGAATAATAATTAACAGTTAATCGAGATGAAAACATAAAAAATAAGACCTTAAAAAAAAAGAAATATTCAATCCATGCATAGACAGTATTGAAATTGCATGCGATTTCACTCGTAACATGCATACAGTGCATGGCAAATAATAAAATTTAATAATAGGAATGTGATTTCGTTCCGATAAAACCGTCTTTTTCCAATCGCCTTATTCTACTCCAATGTTGTTTGGCACAATAGCGAAGCCGATTAATATTATAGTCTTCAAATGTTTTATTAATATCTACTATTTCAATAATTTACCTATTCGGTTTGTTAATCAATTTTATAAGATTGAAGAAAATTTTATGAAATACGCTATAAATTTGACTGCTGATAGTTGATAAGCAAAAAAAAACAAACGAATGCTCAAGACAACTAAAAAAAATTTTTACAAAAAAAGATAAATTTTTACTATAAAAAACGGTAAAAACCCATTTGAATCAATGTTAAATTCGTCATAAAATTCATAAAATTTTCAATAAATATATAAACTTATAATTTTATTATAATTTTTTGTAATACTTTTACAATATTAATTATTAAATGAGAGATTAAACGGAAAATTAAGAACAGTTGCGGAAATAATTATGAGAAATTGAGGAAGTAAACCTGAAATTACAAATGAAATACGGGTGATAGTTGATAAACTCATTTCTCCTTTCTTCGAATGATTATTGTTCCACGACAGTAATGTATAATGAAAAGAGAAAAACATAAGAGAAATAAAACTATACAAAAATTTGATTCCCCCTCCCCCCCAAAAAAAAGCTTGAACCATTTATTTGGCTAAGTCCATCATATGACACTTTATGCCAAAGGTTCGCTGAGATAGGCAAATTCTCATCCATTACATGAATTTCATTTGTCTAATCTTGTCATGGATCAAGCATCATACACATACCAACTAAAGGCTTAGCGATCAACAATACCATTGATCATTGCATAAATAATGCGATTAATTTAGAATTTGTCGAACAAGTACCATTTAATGCAGTATATAAAAAATTGTGAGAAGGCATCTATAATTAAGATTAACTAGTTGATTTGCATTTGAAGAAATTTACAAAAATAATAATAATGATTAAATAAATAATTTTGTTGAATTTTGAAAATCCATTGAAAATAATAATTATTTGTTTTAATGACATCAATAATTTTCATCGCAAAATAACTTTATCAGTTGCTATATAAATCAGTTAGTTATCAGTTAGGCTATGTAACATTAAAGATATTTCATTAAATTTCCTAAAATTTTTTTGTGAACAATTTTTTATCCAACAACTATTTCAGATTTTCTTTAGAAAGTCTTAAAAAAAAACGATGTTAAAAACTAAATATAATGAAAATAAATTTTCTTTTCTTTGATTTAAATTGAATTACACCAATAATCGAATCGAAAAGAATTAGAAAAGTTCAAGATTTAGCTTTTAATATAGCATCGGTACCATTCTGAGTGAAGACCCAGTTCATCTAAGCCCATGTCTCTGGTACTCTTGGATTTTGCCATACTAGTCAATAGAGGCAGCCAAATAGGAGAGTTTTTCACTTATTCGTTTGAGTTTTAGTTTTCTAATAGCGCTTTTTGCATAGCAGTAAAACTTCCTTCCTTCTGCAAAGAAATACAATTTTTAAATATTTTAACAACAACAGAGAAGTACCAATTTGAAAAAAAACTGGATTTGGAATAAATAAGATAAGTTTCCATGTAAAATTTATGCAGTGGAGGATTTTTCAAAATTTCTTAATATATCTTTTGTATTTTGTTGAAAGATTCGAAAAAAAAAGTATGCAGTAACTGCCGAATAAGTACCATTTAATATAGTATATAGCACCTGATTTTTCTTGGCCATCGCCGAACGAAAAATATTTTCTTAAGATGTAATTCTTCAGATGCTATTCGAAAGCCTAAATCTTATAAAAATTTTTGCCTAAAATTTTATTCGCAAAAGCTATAAATATGCATTAGAAATAATCATATTTATTATCCTCTAAGTTGATAAACCCTCAATGATTATATTGAATTTGGCAGTTCTCTGTTCGCTTTTAATGTTCTGATAATAGTGGTGTAACAAATAAACTAAATGAAAAAATATGAATAATTTTATTTAAATTTAAATATTTTCATGAAAATTCCATACAGTTTTTCTAAAAATATTCTCAAGCAATTCAGGATTTCATCATGGAAGTACAGTTTAACTCACCAGCAATATCAATATTTTTTACGAGTTGTTTCAATAATGATGAGCTTATTTTTATTGGAAGCAAGATCGGAACTCTTATACAACTCATAATATTGTTGAAAATATGGATTTTCTGAAGAGAAAAAATTGTTGGACCATCGATTTGTCTTAAATTGCTACGAATCTACTGTTCAAACTTCAATTTTCTGAATCAATAAAGTTGAAAAAAAAACTTTTGATATTTTAAAAAGTTGAAAATAATAATAACAAAACATAATAATAATTATATTTCACGAAAACGACCAAAAAAACAAAGAAAATTATATTAATTACTTGCACTAATTGTATAAGAAAATCACTTTATAATTGCCAGAAAAGAAATGAAAACTACTATTATAATGAGCAATGATAATGAATGATAATGATTATAATGATAATGAAATGCCTTCAATAAGATCTTATACCGGAAAAATTATTCTAACATACCAGTGCATGATTGAAAAAATTTAAGATTATTGCAAGATCATGTGACATTTATTAACGACATGGATACTATGATTAAAAATAAGTTAAGTTTCTAAAGTTTCATGTTGCATATCAGGAAGTTATTAAGCCTCAAGAATTATCTTTACACCTTTAAGTGCATATCGCATAGGTTAATGATAATCATTTACGATATCTTTATTATAAGTTTATTCTATAAGTTTTGGGCTATAAGTTTTCCTCCAAATGAGAAAAAATTAACACTTAAAAATTAATATATAACATTTTTTTTAATAGAAAATTTTCAAAAATACTTTCCGAGGAAATTAACTGTCACTATTCCAAGTAAGGAAACCTATTTAAAGATTCTAAATCGAATTGCAATGGAATCACCAATGAGCAGATGAATAAAATTGATGGCTCGGAAAATTATCACTGACCTAATTAGATTATAGCTGGCTTGCCCTTGGTATATAAATACTAATAAATATTTTGCAAAAAAAAAAATAAACACTAACCCAGATCAAATGGACTGAAACAATATAAATCAAGGTGGTGTTGTAGTTTATCAAATAACTGGAATAGTTTATCCAAACATACAATTATCAACTTTTAAGGAAAAATGTTAAATATTTCTTTATTTATTTATTGTAAATAAATGATGAGCTTATTTTTATTGGAAGCAAGATCGGAACCCTTATACAACTCATAATATTGTTAAAAATATATATTTATATATTATATTTATTTATATATTATTGCATAAAAATTATTTATTTATTTATTATAAGTATTAGATAAATTATTCAAAATTTTATTTATTAATTTTATTAATATTTGTATTTTTTGTATTTTGTACCTTTTTTGTTCTTTTTGCTACTATATTCATATATTTATTCGTATTTCTACGATTAAATATTTCTTTTTCGTTTTTCACTTTGAAATATTAGATGGAGATCAAAAGAAAAACAAATGATCGACTTTTGCGCTTAAATTTAGGTGAATTCTTCAGAAAATAATTTAAATTGGTGGAGCAAGAACGGCTGATTTCTCGTTTTCAAAATTTTTAAAATTGATAGTAGCATTTTAAGAATGAATTTTTATTTTGTATTATTCATTAAATAAAATACTTTAATTTTGTCCAAATTAAATAATCAATGTTTTAATAAAAAATTATCAATTTCGACAATAATCCCTTTAAAGATAATTATGGTTTTATGCAAATGGATTAATGTTTTCTTGGGAAGAAAATATAAGTAAATTGCCAATCGGGATTTTTGGACTAATTAATATCGTAGTTTATTTATTGGCTTTACAAAAAATTTATTTTTATTAATTATAATTTTTTAATTTTTTGAACTAAAATTAGAAAATTTAGTTGAGAGGCTAATTAAATATACCCATAAATTATTCCGTAGCGGGCGAAAGAAATATGGCTTTCTTCTTTTTCATTGGTTTTTTAGTAGTTTTTCTCGTTCCCTCGGTAAAATTGTGAAGATATTGTTAATGCTTGTGGTAAATAGTTATCAAACTGATTAGTAAGACAAAGACTGGAAGAAGGACAATTCAGGAGGATTTCACTGGGAGTTAAATAAGATTTTGGGATTTTGACAGAGGATCAATAAATCAAACAGGCCTGAATTTTTTTGAAAAAATGACAAAACTAAAATTGGAATTTGCACCAAATTAAGAATTTTATTAAATAATATATAATATATTTGAATATATTTAATCATTTATTAATACAAAAACCAAATAATTGCAGCGAAATTTGTTAATCAAATCCTTAAAAGTAATTTTGTTTGTTGCATTAGAAATCTTATCATTTTTTATCAGCAAAATGACGAGTCAGTTTAAGGTAAATATTTTCATCTTGGATTCATTTTTTAATATTTGATATTACAAGTTATAATAGACTATTTTATTAGAAATTCACAAAAAGCTGTTCTTTTGATTCAAAAAGTGGTCCTCGTTTGCCTATTTACCTTTCAAAATATTCCCTAAACATAGCAAGAAACGTTAAAGGTCAATTTTTTTTTTTAAGAGAACCATTCACTATTACTGGTTAGACTCGCTTTGCTGATTTTTCGGACTAGGCAAATATGTTAACGAGTTCCTTAACGGGAGTACGGATGAGAAGCATGAGTGGGCTACCATCATCCGAATTTTTGCGCAGGTCTTGCACCTCTAAAACCTCAACCTCAGTGCTCCGAAATAAGCAACAATCCACTGAGCCATATTATCTTTTGTTATCGGTATTATGCTATACTGCGGCTCGACGAAGAATAATGCATTAACTCGAACCCAAGTCTTGATTCACGGTGGTATTTATTTTGCCATCGAGCGAACCGATTAAAAACCGATTCCAACAAATTCTGTCTCTATTATAGAATCACTTTTGCATGATTTAAAATTTTCTTAAATGAAATAAAATTGAGAAAATGGAAACGATAATTGAACTGCTTTGTTTTTTTTTCAGTTTCCTTCAGAAACCGACTTAACACTCAGTGTTGAAATGGGTGAAATTGAAGAAGCATCCAGGCGATGGGCAGAGGAAAAATCAAAACGAGTGGCGGTTCTATCTGGCGACTCGCTGTCATGTCGTATCTGTAATGAAACTATATATATGGATGAGATTGAAACGGTGAAAAATAGAAAGTGGTGTTGGCCATGTTTTTGCAAGTTCGAACTTTTTTCGAAATTTTTCAAGTTAATGAATAAAACTTCATGTTGTTAAATTGGTATACGCATGAAATATTCAGTTGAATATTGCAGCGAATCGATTCATTACGGTTGCGCTATTCCACGTGTCCGAAAAATGGTGCGATGTTCCGCATGTGGCTATGAAAATTTCCTCCACAAGGTTTTTATTTTTATTTCAATCTATAGGAAATTCGATATATTGTTTGAGATTGAAAGCAGAGAATGCTGAAAAACTGCCCAAAAAATTGCCTAAATTTTATTTTTGGTAAATCATGAAAAATGAGCGGGTAGCTTATATTTCACGTTTCACTGGCAATTAAAATGGTACAAAATTTTTGCCAGAGAAACAATTAGCGATAGAGAATTCGGTCACCAATACTAGCCGCACTAATAATGAAAGGCTTTGTCGCCTTTTGGATACAGAATTCAAAGTGCTGAGGCACTAGATACAGCCATTTAGCCATTTCGCCAGTTTTTTAACTTATTTCCTAAAAAATCTTTTAATAATAGGATTCCCTTCGTGTTCGTGCGCTTAATTATATCCGAGGGCATAGTTTGTTTCTTGCGATACCAGCAGTTCTTTTATTTTTTATTATTATACTGTTAGTATGTAACCATCAACTGGTTAACCCACAGATAACGCAAGCCATCAAACTCGGTGAGTTTTTAAGAATTCTTTTTAATGTAGAATTTAATGCTTCGAGATTTTTTCATCATTAATACCGAAATCGTTTCCAATTAAATCAAATATGAATTAAATTAAATATATATAAATATAAATATCAGAATATTTTCATTAAAATTTTGGCAGCCGTAAATCCAAAGATTTTTGACGCAATTTAGAATTTCACGAAAAAATACTATTGAATTGTTACTCGATTAGCCCTTATTGTTTAAAATTTATTATTATTTAAGTTTTTGTAATGCACCGTTAATTTATGAAAAACCCAAATAATTTTAGTGATAAATTTATAAATAATAGTTTTTTTGCGTGAAAATATAAAATTTCATTAAAAAATTTTATTTTAATTCGATAAAATTCAGCTATAATCGCATTAATTATTCTACTACTGATAAGTGTTGTTATTCTTATCATAAATTTGTTGTGTTATACTGGAAAAATCAAGAAACCAGGTTTCCTAAAGCGAAGTGGTTTAGCAAATATTTCGAATATAAATGAACCCAATATTGTGGTGAGGAATTGCTTTATTATTTATTCATTAACAATTCTCTATTCCTATTTATTTAAAAAATTATTTAGTATTTCATATTTCAAGTGGTACTGATAATGCATGCATTCATTATTTTTGGTTAGATGAGATAATTTTGTCGCTTAGGAATAAAATTACAGTTGGTCCGTAGCAGCACTAGGTTTATTAAATTAGAACTTTGCTATCAGCCTGGCAAACAAATGATATATAATAATCTAAATAACCAATTCATAACCAATTATTCGCTTCTTCTATCATTATCAATAATTAATTCACTGCTCATTCGACGAAATATGATTAACCAGTGTTTGATCACTTCAAATTCCATTCCAGAATCAACGAACAGATGAAATAGAAATAGTACCAATTACTTCAAATAGAATCTATCAACAGCCTTTTGACCAGACTACTATAACAACTGGATCTAATTTGGAAACTGACCGTTGTTTAGCAGCGAGCACTCCAATGAGTATTCCGAAGGCATCTTGTAGCACGAAGTAAATAAAGTCACTGAGCTAGGCGAATTTTTTACTTTAAAATCGTTTTTAAAAGTATAAACTATTGAATATGTTGTATTAGAGTAAAATATCAGGATGAAAACCTTAATGTTTATGGATTTAGTTTATGGATTTTACGAATGTAGTTTATGGATTTTACCAAGCTAGAACGTTTTTTCATTCACAATTAATTGTATTTAGGCTTGTCTCATCTATTTTCGCAAATAAAATCGTTTTTTCAAGAATAAAATTTTGATTTTTATTAATTTTTTTCAAAATATTAATGATCTCTTTCAATATCAGTGAGCGCAAACTACAATTTTTTCTTAACAGAGAATATTATCTTTAAATTTCAACAAAAAAAACAAAGCCAGCGATATTGCTGGTCTGGATCGCTTGATTGCTGACAAGGGTGAGACTTTTCCAAGCGACGGTCCGATGCCAACGTATTAACCTATAAAGTATCTAAAGCTACTCTCTTTTCCACCCCAAATACTGAATCGCTGAATCACCTATTCGTTTAAAATCTCTCCTAATTGTATCATTCTGTATCGTACGGATAGGTCCTTTTGTCACCACAAACAAGTAGCAGTATGATAAACTGATTTCGAAAATATTTTTCATGCGGCAATAATTTTTCTTAACAAATCTTGAATGCTGTCTGAAATTTTATAATTGAAAATATTTGATTAATAAATGTTTCATAAAATGCTGTTTTTAAAATGATAAATGATAAATATTTTTATTGAGCATATTGCCGATCACTCGCTCAGTATCCATGTATTGCCTTAAAACATGTTTTATTATTATAAAAAAAAATCAGCATGGAAGTGAGTGAAAATATTATGAAGCCTACAACGAAATTTTGGTCTAAAAATTCTCAATCTCTCATGTGTCAAAAAAAATCTCTCATCCAGTATTATGAGTGGTCTTGATCATCCTCAACCTCAGCTTTTCTACGAGAGGCCTGCGAGAAGGTTTTGTGCAGTATTCTTATCTCTTCCTAGTACGTTCGTTTGGAGAGATCGCTAATGTTATTGCTGGAACTACTAAAGCCACTATTCTATTTTAGAGAGTTCCAAGTGCTCCAATTATTACTAGAATTGCTTTGGCCCTAATTTTCCACATCTTCTATAGTTCCCCTTTCAGCCTTTGGTTTTTATCACATTCCTTCTTTCTGTTATTTCTGTCGCTTGCTTATATCTACCACCAATGCTAATTTCTTGTCTTTTACCATGATATCTGGTTGATTGGCCCTCACTTGTCTATCTTCATGAAGAAGTCTTTCGATCTTCGCCTTATTATTTTCCACGACTTTTTGAGAGATCTTCTATTTAGTTTTGGGAGGGTTTAAACCCTGCGGCAGATGAAGTCAGGTTATATCTTTCAGGTATACACCAGATATATTCATATTTTCATATTTGCATGTTGCATCCTGCCACCATGTGTTAGACTGTTTATAGGTCTGTTTTTGTGCAATATGCATCGGGAATCCTGTCTAGTGCATAATCCTTGTATCGATGGGTAGGATACTAAATCTTGTTCCTGTGCTCAATGTTGTGTGTTAATCCGACTCCAACTACTGGTAGGATTTCACAACGCCAGATACCTCAACTATCGGTCGATGGTGCAATTCATGGAGAACCTTGCTTTCTCATGGTATTTCCTCTGCTTGATTATTTTCCAGTGTTTATATATACTTTAGAGATTCTCTTTGATATATTTCTGAATGCATTGAGTTTCGTTCAAGACAGTGGCATTCACACTCATCAAATCCTAACCGCCTTCTTTTCGACTGGTATATTGGATTTGGGGTGCGAATTTCCATGCATTGTGAAGAGTTTCATTGTCTTCACATCAGCAGCCCCAATGTCCTCCTTTATTTAACTTATGTGCATATCTAGCAAACTGTACTTGTTTATGGCATGGATTTTATTCTTCCCACTGAGATAATTCAAGATTTGTCTAGTCCTTTGGAGGTGTTTATTAGATGAAATCTTCCTTGCCTCCTCATCGTGGTTACCATATGACTGTTGGATACCAGGGTACTAGCATGCTAATTATTATTATTTTTCCTCTCTTTAATAGCATCCAACCATATTTTCCGAATCCGAATCACATCCCAATGTGCTCTCTATAGATCCAAGTTAAATGTACGGCAGAGCCGGTGCCTTGACCACTTTTTGATGTAATTTTATGTCATCTATGTAAAAAAGATGGCTGATATTAGCCCCAACTTTAAAATTGTCCATATATGCTTTTCTGGTGATAAAGAATTGTTAAAATGATTGGATATGAAGCGTTAAAAGTAGGACATGCATATATTATTAAAGCATATATATATATGCTTTAATTAGCAGAATTTTGGTAATGAGTGTAGAGTTTGGAAATGTAAAAGTTATAAGAAGGCCTGTGGCCATTCCTAGTCAATTAATGGAATTTAAATGGTGCCAGAAACCCATTTGTATTTCTATTTCCGCCTACCCATCACTATAGAGAGGATAACTGATCTAATTCATCTGAATTCTTGATGATCTGTGAAAATACTATGAAATAATTTGAAAAATCAGTATGAAAAATTTCATAGAGATAGAAGTGTTAGGAAAGCAACTCGGAAAAAAAATTGAATACGCACAGATTACGCTTTAACAGGAGAATAAGGAGACATCAAACGACGAAGTTGGAAATTTTAGGATTTTTACCTAAAACTCAATAAAACTTGTATATTAGCTTTATTGCGAGAAAAAATGATTTTTTTACATAAATTTAACAAATTTTTACACGGAATAAAAAGTGGTGAATTTTGAAAATTGCAGATAATATTAATTCATTTAAAAAATAGCATATTATATAAATATTAATTCATATAAAAAATAGCAAATAGCAAATAGAAAAAGAAAAAATAGCGAAAATAATAATAAAATAATAATAAATTTTATATTTATAATGATATCACAAATGCGCAATAACGGTAATACCAAAATCCAAAATTTAAACAAGTAGCGATATAATGATATTCAAAAGGTTTTTTTCGCAAATTCTGACTTTCATATGTATCAATCCAAAATTTATCAATAATCAACAAAGGCTGCTCTAAAAAAATATGATAAAAATAAAGATTTTTCTCGCTTGCAAAAGCTTCTTAGGAATTTAGAAATGTTCATACTAAGATATTCTTGTAAACTGAGTAAAATTTTTTAAAAAATATTTCTATAAATGATTGAAAACGCGAAAATTTATAGGGCGAATTTTTTATATTTTTATATATTTTGTTTTCAAATATCTTAATTTACACTAAAGCGATAAAAAATAAAATTTTAACAATATTGTTATCAACTAAATCAATTCCTATTAATTCCCATTTTGTGAGAGCTAATCGTATGGCACCAGTAGTAATTCGCGAAATTGTGGTGATAAAAATATCAAAGGCTAATCGAGCGAATATTAATATTGAAAAATGCAATTAATATTGCTTTCCATAAAATTTTCAGTTGTAAATCATAGTAATAAGAAACATTTTTGAGAGAATCATCAGCTGATACTTTAAACTTGGATTTTGATTTTCTCTGTCAGATGAAAATATTACAAGAATCATTAACAAAACAAGGAACAATGTTTTAAACGTTACGAGGAAAACGGGAATAGAAAATTTCAATTCTCCCCTGAAGAAAACCCCAATCTTTTTGAAATGAGGGCAACAATTCGTTATATTTCCACAACTCTTATTAACGGGCAAAAGTATTTCTCGCCAAATATTCAGGATAGAATAGATGGAAGAATTAGCGATGGAAGAAAAAAAAAAAGATGGCGAAGATGTTGTACTAAAAAATACTGAAAACTGAAATGAAAGAAATTTTATTTTTTATAAAATGCTTTCATTTCTTTTATTCTAAAGGAATGTAGAATAGCTCAGTGGGTTGTTGCTCAATTCAGCCGATGATGAGGTTGTGCTTCCCGCAGGAGAACAACCTGTTCGAAAATCCAAGTGATGATGGCGACTCATATGTGCTTCTATCGCCAAGGGATTTCCTGGTCTTGTACGGCAAGCCAGCTGAACAATCACTCTAGGAAAAAGGGCGTTCATCTAATAAATTATAAATCTGTAGGCTTTTCGTTAATTACAAAGTAATGTGGCGAAAAAAACTTGGTGATAATTAGATAATATGATATGTGATATGATAATATGATATGATATGATAATTAGGTTAGCATTCTTAAGATTCTTTTTTACCATTTTTATAACCATTACCATGTTTTTTCGTTCATTTATAGTTAGATTAGTTTGTTTTTTTTGAGGGGAATTGATAAAGTGATTATGGCCTAGTTAAGACAATTAAAATAAAAAACTTACCTTACTAAAATAATCTTTTTCGACTAGGCCATAATTATTTTATCAAATTTTATGATGCATATTATTAGATCTTATCGCATTAAGTATTTGATTTTGTAAATTAATTAATTAGATTTTTAATTAAAAAATTTTGCAATCTGCAGGAAAACTGTAGATAACATTTGATGTTGAATGTATGATTTATTAATTTAGATAATTGAAAAATCCAATAACTGCAACAATGAACCCATCTGAAATCTGGAAAAAAAATTTTGCTGTTCTCATATTCTCATCATATTTCTACAGCCATGTTAGCGAAAAGCTCTTTGTATTTGAGCAACATTTTACTTATCATATCAAAATTTAAGAAGAATATAGCAGAATTTCAACAATCAAAATGAGATTTGCCGAGAGAGATTAAGATTGGTAACCGTGCGGCGAAATTATAGAATACAAGGAATACGGTTTAAATATTACTGAAAATTATATTTTGATAGATAAAAAATACTCCAGGCAAGCAGGGCATAACTTAAAAATTGAAGGAAACGATTCGCCAGAACTAACGATAGAGAATTTTACCTATTGGAAAATTGCGATCTCTCTTTCGTAGTGGTTGCGATTCACCGTAACCAAAATTTCTGATTCCAGACTACACTGATTATAGTGCTGTAAAACAATCTAATAAAATAGTTTTCTCGGTCTTATGCAAGGTTATTGCTCGATCCGTGATCCGCAGTTTGATTTTTTGCATCTTTTTTTCGAAATGCAAACTAATATGCGACTGCATTGTTTTTTCATGCGACAGACTGGGTTACGCGTCATTCAAGAGGTGCACAGATTATTCCAGAATATAATATTGTGGATGCCATGTGATGCTGGCCACTCACCTTTATTTCTGTCGCTAAGGGATTTCTTGGTATATCTATTTAGACCAGCAAACCAGCGAAGTGAGTCTAACCAGTAATGGTGAGTGTCTTTTTAAAAAAAATACCGTTTTTGAATATTATTATGAATGAATCGAAAAAATATATATATATAAAATTATTCATTTAATTTAGATAATCTGTTTATTCTTTTAGAACCCCTCCTTTCTCGTGGGCTAATTATTAAGCATTGGCAAATCTAAGAATTCTTTTAGTATTAAAACAGGCTAAAACTAACAAAGTGGAATGAAAATGAATTTTATTATCCTATTAAATATATTGCAATAAAATGAAGTTGGATATTGATAGTGCGATGTTGACGAATGTTGACGTTCATAAAGAAAAGAGTTTATAAAAAAAGTTATTGAGATGTTCCAAAATAGGATAAAAAATTACAGAGCATATTGAGGGGATATTCGGATTTCACAACAGAATTTATACTTTCTCAGTCCTTCTTAGTTCAATAATATTACGGTGTGCTATTATCTTTTTTCGGCCTGACAATAAACTCCATTGGATGCTCACGATAATTAATCTGAAAAGCATAGTCGATGAACAAATTGCTAAGCAAAACGCTGATCATTAAAAGTGAAATCATAGTTTGAACATAATAAATATAAAAAAATTAAATATAAAATTTAAAAAAATCAAAAAAATTCAATATAAAAATAAAATTAACAGACTGAAAAAGTGATATGCCATAAAAATAGCAGCCACCAAGGTTCTGCATAATTCGTTAAATTAAGGAAAGAAAATGAATTAAATTTAAATAAATTTATAAATTCAAAAAATATAAAATAAATAAATGAATAAATGTTTATTTATTAAAAAATATTTATAAATTATTATAAATGTTTATTCATTACAAAAAATTTATAAATAAATAAATATAAATTATAAATTATTTATAAATTACAAATTAAAAATTTAAATAAATTCAAATTTATGAATTCAAAAAATATAAATTTAAAAAATTTAAATTTAAATTTGACCAAATTCAGCTTAATTTTTTTTCGAATTTTTTTTTCTAAAACTATTTTTAATTTTAGATTAATAAAATTTTTAAAATTTAAACAACAATCATATGGTGCTTCATAATTATAATAAATATTTACCCATCGAGAGTATGGCAAAGTATCCAAATTAATGTAAAAAATAAAAATGTTCCCCAAATTGTCGTAAAAAAAGGTGATATAACAGTTGCGATCACGAAAATTACAAAATATATCAAAGTACAAAAACAAGTCTGCAATAATTTGTGCAGATTTATTCTTCGAACTAATTTTGTAAAAAAATTTCTCATTAATTGATCCGCTTGAATTATTCCCTCAATTTTGCAGACTAATGATTTCGAGTTGCACGTCAAAAAAAAAATTTATTAAAAATTTCAATCTATCAAAATTTTGAATTGTAATTTCGATGTTTTATTCACATTATTAATTAAAAATTATTTAAATTATTTTAAAAAAGAATTTATACCTGAGAAAAGAAAATAATTTCAGTTCGCAATTTTGTGGTAGAAAATTGCTTTTCTTTCCGGTTTTTTTTCTAAAATTCAATAATAACTTAGTCTTAGCTTAGAGAATAAATATAATTTTTAGTGGATTCATTTCGCTGATCACAATAAACTATTGCAAAAAAGAGAAATCGTGGTGGCTGTTGTTAGATTAATGGTTAATAAAAGAAGAATCAACTAAGCGTCTAATATTAATAATTAGTGGAGAGCCACTAAGGTCAATTAGAAATAGAAATAGTTGAATTTTAGTTGAAAGATTAATTCAATTAATAATTTTTTTTTTCTCTTAAAAATTTATTCATGAGAAGATTTCGAAAAAAATAATATAATAGCCGAAATAAATGAAGATTGCATTCGCATTGCTCATAAACCAATAATCATTTCCACTGCACCAACGGCCATTAAACTGGCTTCTGAAGATTTCCTGGGATCCACGACTCTGAGGGAGGTGGGGGGGGGGTTGAATTGATGAGGGTTAACCTTACTTTATTTTTAATGATAACAAACTATTCATAATGATTATTTTATGTATTTTATTTTAATATATTCAATTTAAAAATAAATTGAAAAAATTGAAAAATTAATATTTTAAAATTTGAAAACATTGCGCAAGGTGTCCTTAGATTTTTATATAGCATTATTTAGGAGATTTCTGAAAAAAAGGTTTCATTATTACTTCAAAAATTTTTTTGGCCACCAACTTATGAAACGTAGTAATATCAACGGAAATAATAGCAATGAACAGAGATATATGAAAATAGAATTCAAATTTTGACAAAAGTCGTCCACATTTTGTATCAGCAAAGCTCCAAACGTATGAATTTATATCAAAAGCATATGAACATCCATGAGCTGAAAAAAAAATCAGATCATTCGCAGATGATTTATTCTTAGCATTAAAGAAAAATGAAACCGATAAATTTATAAATAAATAAATAAATAATTTGTGCATATTATAAAATTTTTATGATGATAATAATGAAATCGCATAAGCCAAAGAAACAATTTACCTAAAGAATAAACAATGAACAGTTTAGTTAATTATAAAAAATACATTGAAAAATATTTTATATAACAAAAGGAAACTCACGAAATTGAACACCGTACCAGAAGCCAATTGAAATTATTATCATTATGATTTCCATAATCACGGTATTTTTTTTACCGAATACGTTTGCATATCGCAGAGGCAATACAACCGAATAAAATCTATTAATGCTTATCAAAAGATGCAAAAGTAAACATGAATAGTAAATACCGTTAATTAATTGACCAAATATGTTCGCAATTCCTTCCTGCGTAATCTGCCTGCAAAAAAATGAATGAATTTCAGAAAATCAGCAATCAAATAATTTTAAAAATAGAAAAAAATTCGTTATAGGCAATGAAATAAAAGTCAAATAAGCAAATTTTATAAAAAAGTTATGATATTAAAGAAAGGAATTGGACTGATTTCCACACCTCTTGAGTTGATACCAGTTTCACAAGACTGGATGTCTTCTTCGAAAATTGAAAGCGTGCATTGGTAACAAAAACTTCATGACTCTTCGACAAGATGACGAAGGCGTTCTCCATTGGCACACTGGATCTAGCTACCATATTTGCCAATCACCTATGATATCTTAATCTATGTGCTCTTTCCATCCTCTTCTGATTATGAAAATATTGTTTTTCAGCAGAGATATTGTTAGTAGTTGAAACTGGTGCATTAATGGCCCAATGACAAGATAATTGCCATCGAGAACCGAGGTTCGGGTTCCAACAAAGTTCGAGCTCACTCTTTTACACTCATATCCACTCATCGTCGAACAGGAGTATCGCCTAATGGAAAAAAGCAAAGGAGAGTAAAATGGTTCAATGAATTGTTCCATTCGAAGCGCCGATACTGTGGTTTTACTCCGAGCAAGGAGAAGATTGTCCGAAAATCCTGGTGATGCTGGCAATTCATCTGTCCTTCTATCTCCAAGGCAATCCTGGCATAATGCTCTAGTGCGATAAGCCAGTAAAGCAATAATGGTGAGTTCCTCAAAAAAAAAAATTGGAATTGCGCATAGATCTTACTCTTATCACTGTACAAAAAGTTGCAGCAAAGTTGCACTTATGAGTGAAATATTGTAAAATTATCTTTGAAGTGACCATAAGCAATAGGGTTATTTATTGGTTCTCAGAGTGGACCAGATTTTTCCAGCCGTGACAATCTCTGGGCAATTTCGCGTTGTCCAAAATGTTGCAATGATATACCAGTACCTCCGCTCAAAGCCGTGTTTAGTCGTCATAAATAATTATGACTCGAAAGTGTTCGCTTGGCTTACAACATCCACAAGGACACTACTACAGCCAAAATCTCATTACGCGTGCAGAAAACCGATCGACAGTTACTCGTCTCCTTTGACAGAACATTTACCCTAGTTCGAGAACACATTTATTCACAAGCCTTGAGATCGTTTTACTACAACTGGATTGTATGCTTGTTGCATGTGTTGAAAATATCATGCGCGGTAGACACAGACGCCATTTTGAAAAAACTTAACCCTTTTACAATAGAGTCGCTTGGGATTACTGCAAATTCTTAGTTGCCACTCGAATTTTATAATATATTTACTCCTGTTAAAAGCAATGATAAAGGAGATAAAATTAAAAGAGAGAAAAAATAATGAAAAATGGAAAATGAAAAGAAAAAATAAGCTTAAAAACAAAATCTAAGAAAAAAATTTGAATTAAACTTTCGATAATTTGCTTTAATAGTGGTGTGGCGTTTAATAGAACAATGGATCTTTAAATTTCTGTTCTATATTCCACTCAGTTATTTTATGTCTTTTCTGATATATTTTAGAGATTCAACAAGTAAAGTAGTACGCCAATTTTTTTCCATTAAATTTAAAAATAGAAAGTATAAAAAAATAAAAATATTTATAAATAGATAAATATTTTTAATATATAAATATTAAAAAGTATAAAAAAGTTGGCTTTAGTTCAATTCTTTTAGCTTCTTTCATCATGTCTCGACAGGAATAAAATATTCATAATTTTAAAATTTCAAGTTGGAGGTCAATCGGTATTTCTATCCTCAAGTAATTAACTCTGTGGCGAAAATATGTAATTAGCAAATAACGTTAATCCCCTCTAATATTTATGATATCTCTAGTCCACTGATATATGCGATAAATATTCAAAAGATCTATAGATCAATAGACATGACCCAAGAAGAGAAGAGAAGAGTTAAGCAAAAATCAGACAGATTTGTACGCACACGATGGGTTTTGACAGTTTCTACAGGGAAAGTTAGAACACTTATGAAGGTACAATATTAGGTGAAGTTAAGTTAAGCATTAAAAATTGTAAGTGCAAGAAAAAATATACTACTCGTTTATGAGTATATGAGTTTATGTGCATAGCAGTAATTGTGGAAACGGCAGCTTAATAGATAATTAGGAAGGTCATTGAAAATGGTTTTTCAGAATTAGCTAAATTATCGCAAAGAGACCATAACTTAGGATAGAATTAGTGAAATGACTCGAGACAACGATGCAAAATTGTCATATCTTTCATTAATTTTACCGCTCATTTCGATTCTATTGAGATAGGACCACTAATAGGTTGTGGAAAATGATTTTTCAGAAAAGATGATCAGATTTATGATAAGCTTTGTCATATCAGGATAGGTGTGCTAAAGGTGAATTGATATAATCTTTTTTGACCAGTGGAAGAAATGAATTTGTTTTTATTCGTGCCTACCTTAGGTATACTCATATGATAACAACCATTTTCAAATATCTATACTGAGAGTACATTATTAACACCATCTTCGCTGGCTAGTTTATTGTTGTTCAGTTCAGAAAATCGCAAATATATTTTTTTATTAAACCTTGTGATAAATCAGAAATGTGACGACTAAGGCAAGATGAGTGATATAATCAGAAGGGACTTCGAGTGCATAAGTCGAGCAGATTTAGGTGATGGAAAAATAATTTTAATTAATTTCAGGAATAGCGTCGGGAGACCGAGAAATACCTTACTATAGTCATCATTTATGAAACTAATAATGGTCCGACCTCTCAAAATAATAAGGCTAGCTTTACTGACTTGTCAAACCAATCAAATTTTACTAGTGAGCCACGTGACAACAGGAATACAAGTGGGTTGCTTGAGTCGCAAGCGTTACCTGAATTCTTCAAAGACAAGTCCAATCCTACGGAGAGCAAAGTTCTAACACGTGCACCCACAGATTTCCACCTGATTTTATCTAATCAAACTAACTCACTAATTAGAAGAATTAATTCATTAGTTTTATTTTAAGTTATTATTTTTACATGATTTTTTAAAGAATTCAACTAAACGACACATTCAACTAAACGATTTTTTTTAATATAAGATCATCACTCATTCAAGATAATCATAATCATTTTATCATTCAAATCATAATAATCATTTTTATCACTGATAGAGTCAAGAAAAAATAAAACAAATGAAAAATAATATATTTTTCAATTATTCTGATGATAATGATAATGAGAAATGATAATATTAGATTTAAAGTATTAGTGTAAAAAAAAAAAAAAAGAATTTTAAATAGTTTTACATTAGAATTGCTGCAGTGTCATAAACGCACATAATAATAATAATACTGCAATTTAAGCAACCGATAGAGATACAAAGCACTCGAAATGCATTTTTTGTTAATCGCGATTTCCATATAATATATATTAAGGCAATATTAACTATTAATCCACAAACGCCACTCTAAAATTCAATTCAATTTTATTAAAATAATATGGAAAAGAATCGAAGAGATTTTTTAAAGAAATTTTCAATGAGGCATTTAATTAATTAAGAATAATATCCATTGAAGGAAATTTTTGAAAAAAAAATTCATTTAACGGAGAAAATACAAAAAAAAATTATGTTATTTGCTAATATTTGCCAAAGGAGAAAATTCTTTTTGTATGAAATTTTAACCAAATCAATGAAAAAAGAAAAGAAAATCTTACCACAGCTATTGCACTACATATAATAAAATCAGTAGCAGATACCATTTTTTTTTTTTTCGCAAATTTCCGCTCCAAAATTTGGCTAATGAAAAAAGTATGAAAGAGTGGGAGAATTGGCCACTAATGCAACTAGCTGAAAATTGAAGTTCTACTATTGTAAGGACTTTCTTCTTTTAGTAGTGCGCACGTCATTTCTGGTAAGGTTGATTCAGTTGAAAACTTATGGAAAACTTTTTCGCTGGTTAGGATTTTCGTTATCGTCCATCACAAGAATTCGTGCATATTTCGCTACTTGCTGAATCCACTGATGAGTGGCGTCAAAAGCGAGGTGGGCCAATCAAGACTTGGTCAGATACGGTCAGGAAAGATTTTGAATGTGTAGATGGACCAGTAGTATATGGACTTAGATGGTGGAAAAAGGAATGGAAGATGAATGAAAAGAAAGAAAAAGAAATGTTAAGATGGAAAAATCTATTCCCTCTATAGATGAAAAAGTTAATTTTCTTAATAGCATTATTTTATATCTTATAGAGCAAAATATCCCTTTAGAGAAAAGTGTAGGTCGATTCCCATTTTTTTAAAAATCTTTTCAAAAAAGTTTCAATAAACTTAATAAATACAAATTAACCAAATTGTCAAATGATCTCTCAGCATAAAGAATGTTTTAAAAATTTCTGTAGCGCCATTCACCATATAGACGAAAATCCGCGTCCATATAGCTGCAATTTGTTCGCTCTTATTATATGGTTGCGAAACATGGCCAGTGATAGTGGAAGATATTAAGTTATTAATCTTTGACCACTCATATCTAGGGTACATTCTACGGATCCGCCGAGCGGACAAAATATCACATGATCGCATCCATCTTCATTCAAATACCACTTGCATAAATAATGTTATCCCAGAGCGTCGCCTTCGCTGGTTAGGATATATTTTCAGTCGTCCACCACAGGGCACATATTTC